TTAACAAAAGTAAAATAGACTCAGCAGTCCTATTTCACTTAAATCCCTCTTTTAATTCTTGCTTCCTTAAACTATGGATTCTTCTGTTGGCTCTTCATAGTTAGCCACCAAATTTTGATCTTTGAGGGCTTCAGGGAATGAAACCAGAGCACTATTCATCCCTGTTTATTTATTTTTAATCATTTAAATTTATCCTGCATTTATTATTTTTACAAATAACTTAAGACAGCAAACTTATCCAACATACCTTCCTCTTCCTGTTTTCCCCACAACATCAGCTCTGTGAAGTGAGTTGGGCTGATAGAGAGGAACTGGCCCAAAGTCACCCAGTTGACTCTCATGGCCAAGGAGGAACTAGAACTCCTGGTCTCCAGCTTTCTAGCCTGGTGCCTTAACTACTAGCCCACTAACTGGCTCTTTGGATATTGATGTGAGCTTTGCCTCAGTCAATTTGGGAAGCATCAACAGAAAGAATAACTTTTGGGCATCACTGCTTGTAGACCCATATGTTAATCTACAACTCTCATCATTCCTACCCAACCTGCCTATGTAGCAATGATGGAAGCTGTAATCCAACACTCAAGTGTATGTTTACAAATGGTAGATTAGTTTGTTACCTAAAGAAGAAAAATTTTATCTGTGGCACCTTCTTAATCAGTACAGGACCAAATGAAGGAATGGCTATTGAAAGGTTAATGATCTTGAGCAGTGTGTTTCTCAACCTTGGCAAGCTGAAGATGTGTGGACTTCAATTCCCAGCATTTCCCAGCCAGCATGGCTGGGAGTTGAAGTCCACCCAGCTTCAACTTGCCAAAGTTGAGGAAGATTGATCTTGACCATTGGAGAAGTCCTAAAACCTCAGTTTCTTGGCCAGGGTTGGTACGTATGAAAAGGGTGGGAAAGACTTCAGATAATATTTCAAATCAATAAATATTGACACTACTCTTATAGCAAAGTCGCCTCAGTTCTGGATCAAATCATAGACAAGGATGGTGAAAATACTGCAATAATTCTAGGGTTAGTTTAATTGCATGTATCAATTTTGTCTGGGCCCTTTCCATACGCAGGACACAAGGCAATTACTCCATTATTCCCACAAAAGGGTTCAGTTATAATAGTTAATAAATTCACCAATGAGAAGAAAGTTATTTCCTCCCTAGCTTTTGGAGAACTAGCCATAGTATTGCTTCTGTAGAAATTAGATGTGAAGAATGCAACCAACTCTAGTGCATGGAAGCCACAAAGCCTTATGAAGTATATTTTGAAATGTTGGATTGGCAGATTGAATAAGTAATAAAACTTTGTCAACTATTTCTCCTCAATCAAGGGCTTCCACCATCTGTTCCTGCAAAAGAGATTTTGACTTCTATCAACCTTCTTTTGAAGACAGAAGGGACTTCTAGCACACTTATTCAAAGTAGCTTTATGACCTTCAACAACAGCCCTGCTCTGCTGTCAACTTACCAGGTTCTGAAGGAGCAACATGGAGAAGAAATATCTTCTTCGGCTCTCCTCTTGCCAAGTAGTGATAAGAAGGCTGTACTCCTTCCTCCTCGTGACCTAGATCTCTCTACTCCAGAATTTGTTTCTGATGAAGTTGTTGCATCTGATATCCCCCATTGCAAAAAACACATTTCAAACCTAGCCCTCAAATTCCCAGAGTCAAATGTTCAGATGAAGATGTTGCCAAACAATCTGTCAAAGACTGGAAAAATTCCAGCTAAGTATCCCCATCTGTCCACCCTTCCTAAGCGGCTTATTCCATCTTCTCCCACTAGTCTAGATTTTTTATCCAGAGTAGGTCAGAAGAAAGGCTCACGCAAGAAGAAATTAGGAATGTTTGGTTCAGTTTCTTCAACATTTTCTACTAAGGAATTCCCAGAAAGCATAACAGGATCCCCTCCTAGTCAAGATTTTGTCTCCTCAAATCGTAATGATATACCAGACACCAAGATACTAAGCCCTAGTTATCCTCTTTCAAGTTCTTCAGGAGTGAACGAAATGGTCCTCTCTGTATTTCATGATGTAAGCAAAGAAGGGGAGTTACTGCTGCCTTCCAGGACCCAAATACTTACTGATATTGGATCATCTAACATTTCTGCCTTAAGTTCAGAAGAAAAAGTGCTGGGAAGAATGGAGGAGGAATTTAATTCTGCAAATGGGTGTGATCCAAACGAAAAGACATCTAACTATAAATTTTGTTTCCTTTTATGAAGCTGTAAAAGAGAGGGATGGTGGTGAAGAACATCAACAAGACCCAGATGAGTCAAGGGAGCACAAAAGGCTCCAATTTAGGATTAATGGCTACAAGTTCAGGTTGCATCAACTAATAGTTGATGGATCTTATTGGAGTTGGGATTCATTTTTGACTTTGCTGTTTCTTTTGTGAGAAATAAGATTATTTTGTTGAAACGTCTTAGGTTTATGCATGTATATAAATGTAGATATAGAATTGTGTCTCTACCAATTTGTCATCCAAAACAGAGAAAAAGATGCTGGATTCTTTCATCATAGCCTCTGAGTAAGCATACTTCTACTCAACCTGGTGCGCTTTAGATATGGAATATTACAATCCCCAGAAGCTGCCAGATGATGAAGATTGCAATGCAACCCATTTGGTGGAGATAGGTGTATGAGAGAGCCTACTTTAAGAAGGAAAGGAATATGGTTTCTGAGTATAACGGATGGAAAATAAAAGTTTCTAGAACCTCCTAGATCTATATTTAGAAATCTAGACAGGAGATTTTAAGCTACAAATAAATAAGTCATCTTTGGAATCTAATAGTCAACTTGCATCAAAGGTGCCTAAAAATAAATCTTTCTATTCTTCCTGTTTATGGTGTTTTTCTCTTTGTTTGTATTCTCCCCTCTATACTTATTGCTAAAGAACCCCCTTGCCATGATACACATTCTGTAAGCTTTTCATTCACATACTTAATAGTGATTGGTTACCACTCTGCAGATGTACAGATTGCTTGCTTTCCTTATGGCACAATTTAGGGAAAATAAAAAAAAATCATGTCTCATAAAACCCACTGCTTCTGTTGTTGGGATATACATTATTTGAGCAGAAGAAGCTACAGGTGGTCCTTGACTTATGACTCTAATTGAACCCAGAATTACGGTTATAAATTGTGCCAGCCATTAAGTGGATCGTCACGAGACCATGCTTGATTTTATGACCTTTTTTAGGATGGTCATTAAGCAAGCACCATAGTTGTTAAGCAAAACCATTGTTCACAACTGGGTATTTTTTTTTTTTTTTTGCAAGAAACTAAAAAGTAAATGCTGGTTTCCAGCAAAAAATATGATCATGTCACTGGGTTGCTGACCACCCAAAATGCAATCATGTGACAATGGCAAAGGGAGCAGCTGTGTGAACCTTGAATCCGGGTCCTAAGTACCTTTTTGGGGGGATCTCTTGCAACTTCAAACAGTTTCTAAGCAACTGATCGTAAGTCGAGGACTACCTGTATTGAACTTTGCATAACCAACTGTATCTAAGAATTCACCCTGAAATATGAACAGAAATTCTCTTACTGGCTGCATCTGCAAAGTCTCAAGCATTGGTTGGTCTGCTAAGCCTCAAGACCCCCTCCTCCTTTGGAGAAGATTAGGAATATTTTGTGGAAATAAAAAGTTGAACGTTTGAAATTGGGGGGGGGGGAGAGGAGAGCAGACTGCAGTGATTTGTATGACTCGATCTAAGGTAAAATCTTCCAAGTTCTCACCTCAGCCTTGCACAGCTCTGGAATGTCTGCACATCTTAAAATTGCCAAGTTTTGGGGAAAAAAACAACCTGTAAGAACTCTATTGCAGATGCTTGAACGTGTTTCACCTGCTTTGGGGTGCCCACATTCAATTCCTTCTTCTAGAGGGACCTTGATATTTTATTATATTTTGAATCTGGTGGATGGGTGTGCTGTTCACCAGGCACTCCACTAAAATCATAGTGGTCATGATTAGCATGTAGTGGTTAAGGTAGTATTTCTCATCCTTGACAATTTTAAGATGTGTGGACTTACAACCCCCAGAATTCCCTGGTCAGGATGCTGATTGGGGAATTCTGGGAGTTGAAGTCCACACATCTTAAAGTTGCCATGGTTGAGAAATACTGGGTTGGATTAAAAGTGGGAGAGCCACATTCAAATTTCACCCTTAAGTATGTTGTGAGGGAAAAAAATAGGACTAGGTATAGAACCTTGAGCTGCTGAATGAAAGATGTATATAAACCTAATTAAAAAGTGGTTCCACTTTTTAATAAATGTTGCCTGGAAAGATCTGCATTTCTTCCTTTATTTCAAAGAGAAAACAGCAGCACTTCAGCACTCAGCAAACTTAGCATTCACACCTAATTCCTAAACAGTCTGGGGGTCAAGATTACAAAAAATGAGCAGTTGATAGGAAACATGTAGTAATAATTGAAGTTATTATGAAGGGAATATAGACCTAAACTCTGGAATCCAAAATAAGACAAAGCAATCTTTTAACCATTACAATTCCTGTGGAAATAGGTTTTGTGAATTGGATTCATATAGTAGAACAAATAATCATTTTCTTTAACTATAGCTTGTTGAACAATTCATAATTGCCTGGTTCCATGGACTACTAAATCAGAAAGAGATTTGTTGGGCTTCAGTATAGTATATTCTGGGGGGACTTGTAAACTATTCCTTGTGCTGTGTATTTTATGGTTTGTTGCACAAATCATGGCTTATTTCTTAAAACGCAGTTGGTTAATACCAATGGCTAGCTTCATAGCCTACATTAAGCTGAATTCAAACAAACTCCATTACAATATAGAGCCATGCCACCAAATGAGGCAGGTGTGGGATGTAAACATTAAGAGAAAATCCAACAGAGAAACAATTTGCTTTATTTTAAGTTCCACCCTTACACCACACCTGCATGTATGTTCATTTATAAAAGGGCAATCAGGAGCTCTTCCTGCTCTTCTTTTTTTTTACTTTGTTCCTTTTTTTAGTTTGGCTTTGGTAGATTGGGTTTGTTTTGGGGCCTTCCCACAGAAAGTGTTTGTGTTTGCACAACTTGGAAATTAGATTCCACACAGAGTGTAGGTAGCTTTTCCCCTCCTGGGTAAACTGATTTGTTAGGGTCCCTGCATTTCATGGAAAGGAAATTGGGGGTGCAGAAAATAGGGGGGCATGCAAAAGCAGCACTTGGAAGTGGTGATTGCCTCCAGCAAAAGAAGGCCTTCTTGCAAGCGCTCAGCAGAAACCTGGGAAGAAAACCAGCCTGTTTACAAGAGATCCCGGACAAATTTGTTGGTTTGCCCCATGGAGAGAGAGGCTTCCCTACTACCAGAAAGCAATAGATGCAGCTATTACAGCACCGGTGAGGAGAGGATACCATGGGAAGCTTTGTTTGTTTGTTTGTTTAAAAAAAAAGAATCAGCTCTACTGAGCAGGTGGAAAGCTTTCAGCAAAGCAAGGGCTCTTGTCTGCTAGTATATGTTTTAATTTGCATTAACCAATTTGGTTTAGTAGTTAAGGTGCTGGCCTAGAAACCAGGAGACAGTAATTCCACTTTAGGCTTGAAAGCTGGCTGTGCCTTTGGGCCAGTTGCCCTCAATCAGGCCACCTCACAGGGTTGTTGTGGAGTAAATAGGAGGAAGGAATATGATGTAACTGCAATGTTTGTTTAGAGGTGGGTGGTGAGTTCCAGTGAGTTAGGGCAGGGGTGATACCCCCATGAGAGAGTCGGAGAATATGCTGAGCCTGATAAGGATATGAATAGTGCTGATGAAAGAGTTTTACCCATTCCTAAAAGGGCTACCAATCCCCAAATAACCATTTTATTAAAAGCGAGATGGGCATGGTGTTTTCCAGCCTACCTCTTGTCCTGTTTCCTTGGACTCCAATTTACCCTCCCCCCCATAGGTGGGCACAAATTCCAACAGCACACAACTGTAGTTAATTACTTGACATTTTTATTAGAGGCAATTAAACAAAAAGTGAGAAACTGACCTCTTGCTTTGAAGAATAAAAAGATGCTTTTTAAACTTTTAGAATATTGAAGTTTTACAAAGGACATAAAGGTCAACAAAAGCTAATGAAGAGTTAAAGAAGCAAGGAAAGAAAGAAAACAAAAGTATAGAAAGAAAGAATAAAAAGAAATAGAAGAAGCTTCCAATTTCCTTTGCAGCTAATATAAGTACATTACAAAATTATCTTACTCTGAAATTACAAAAACTAACTTTTTTACATTCAATATTTTTTTCTAATCATAAAAACCATAAATAAATGCATTCTTTCCTCATTTCACGCAAAAAAAAATCTATAAGGAGTTTCCAATCAGCCATAAACGTAGTTAATATTTTTTTTCTCTGATCAAAGAAATTAATTTAGTCATATCTGCGTGTTCCATCATGTTCAGCAATAATTCCTTCATTGTGGAGGAACTGTGTCAATTTTTTTCCATTTTTGAGCATATAATAATCCTGCTGAAGTTGTCATTGCAAAAATAAACTTCCACGACTTTTTTCTAGTTGCATGTCCATTAGTCCCAAAAGGAATGTTTCTGGATTCAGATATACTTTAATCCAGGCGCATTCAACTTTGGTGACTTTAAGACTCGTGGACTTCAACTCCCAGAATTCCCCAGCCAGCCATGAGTTTCTGGGAGCTGAAATCCACAGGTCTTGAAGTTGCCAAGGTGGCACCCCCCCCCGCTTTAATTTTTAAAACTTTTGAATTCAGATAAGTGTTTGTGGTTTTTCTTTTTTAAAATTTAAGTGGGGCCTGGGAGGCTGGCAAATATTGAGGGTGCTGGTAGGCGTACTGTTGCCCACAGATGCCATTTTGGCAGTTTAGGAGTATTTGTGGTAATTGGAAATGGGTCTGTAATTTGGCGGCTTGGGAGCATAAAATTTGTAGAGTAAGATTCTAAGGGGTTTGGGAATATGCCCAAAGAGCACAATCCTTATTAATCTTGACTTCCGTATTTTATCCCCATAGATATGCCTGTTACTTCCAGGCAGAGCTGCCCCACAGCACAGCCATCCTGCATATACCAACCCAAGGAGGCTCCTCACTGGAGAGTTTATGATCCCTTTGATTTTACCTCTGATGAGCTGAATCCTGCCTATGAATGGCTAGGAAACTCTTCCTCAGCTGGAAAATGTAAGTTGTGTCAAGAAACCAAGGAAAGAGGAATGATCAGTGCCCCAGAGCTTCAAGGATTTGTGTTGCATCAAGATGGGAAAAGGGTAGAACAAGGAAATTGAGGTGTTTAAGATTGGATTTGTGTGGATTAGGTGACAAAAGGCAGGATACTGACAATATTTTTATTGTTTTTAATAGGCTTGTTATTGTTGTAATTGTTAAATTTCAGAATTGTAAGCTGCTCAGTTGGTTGAGATGGGCAGCTATAGAAATAAAATGAATGAAAATAGATTATACCCCTTCATAGGGATTTTGAGATGTGATTAAAAAGATTAAGATGGTAGCTCCAATGCTTGATCATTATGATCACTATCTTTTAAAAAACATATTAACTAAAACAAAAAAGGCACAAAATTAAATCACCCAAAGTTGCTTTATCAGTGAGATGGGTGGCATATAAATTTAATAAATAAAAATTAAAAAGAAAAGGGGAAAAAGCTAAATAAACAAACATGTACAAAGTTTATATTTATAGACATATCAATAAACAAAAGCCATAATATGCTACAGTCATCTACTATTTTATATTCTTCAGATCAATGAATAATTTGAGCTAAATGTTTGTCTTTCCAGTGCTGAATGTTAATTCTTTTGGTGAGAAGTTAGGTTCAGAAAATCCATTTCCTTTGTCCAGATGCCAGCTCCAAGAGGGTAGACATAAACATCAAAAAATTGTAAACATCTAAAAATATTAAGTCTCAATGACTGCATGTACTGTATTCACTTCTTTCCAAAAGGAACAATGTGTTTAAATAAAGCATTTGATTTCACTGCTTTTCCAACAATATAAGTTCAGTGAGGTCATTTGTAAAATATTTCTTGCTAAAAAAAGATCTAATTTAAAAAACTGTTGAAACATTTTTAATATCGTTTTTGCTAACTCTTACAATCAAAAGAAAGGGATATATATATATAGAAAATGCATATATACACACACATAAATACATGCATACATACATGCATTTTAGAAAAAACAAAAAAGAAAGGACATTCTGTTAGTGCTCCCCCCCGCTGCCACCTTACAGCTTCCATCTTGACTTCTTGACACAAGCTATGGACATTCCTGTTCTTTCAAGTTAGAAGAGAGAAAAAACCACTGCTAACTTTCCTTAGAAAATGCATGGCACAGTGAATAAAGATAAGAGGAAGGAATTGGTCATGGTCGACCTACCTTCACAGGTAAGTCTGTTGAGTATTATTTGCCAGGAGGAACTAGATGCAAAGCCATTGAGCTAAAGACATCCTGGATTTTCTTTTCTCCCTGCCAACCCTCATTTAAACTCTCCCATCCTCCCCCTGCCCTTGTGGGATGCTTAATGATATATCACATGTCTAGTCCAAAAGCTGAATAGAAGAGGAAAGGGTGTGTTTTGCTACGCCCATATCATACCACATCTTAGGGCAGTGGTTCTCAACCTGTGGGTCGGGACCCCAGTTGGGGTCGAATGACCATTTCACAGGGGTCGCCAAACAACGCAGTCCACCATTTCCCCCCCCCCCTTTTCCTTAGCTGTGTTACTCCCTTTTATTCTATTGGCTTTTGAAAGCCAATAGAATAGACTCTCTTGAATAGAGTCTAATTCTATTGGCTTTCAAAAGCCAATAGGAATTGTCCAGGCTGTCTCTGCCCTGCTGAGCCCGCCAAAAGTCCCATTCTGCAAACGGTGCTGCAAGTTGTCTGCAGCGAAGGCGAGCTGTCTGGAAGCTTCCATCCCTCCCTGCTGAGCAACTACTAAAAATATAAGTAAAAGAGGGCCAGGGGTGGGAGGTGGGAGGCTGGCGGGCGCAGGGAGGGTTGCTGGCGCGCGTGGGGCCTGGCGGTCGCCGTGCGCCGTCGCTGCCCCTTGCCAGCTACACCTCGACTGGCACAGGGGGCAGCACCATGCATGTGTGGCGCTCCCAGGCAGGGATAGTCCTCGACTTACGACCGGTTTAGTCCTCGACTTACGACCACTTGTTTAGTCCTCGACTTACGACCGGTTGGGGGTCGCAGCATTAAAAAGGTTGAGAACCAGTGTCTTAGGGAATTACACTGACTTCTAGTGGGCTTCTGGGTGCAACCCAAGTTGTTTATCATCTATAATAATGTTGGGTTATTTGTAAAATGATCTATTTATGGTTGTTTCCACAGGTCCCACTAGGTCCCACAAGGTAGATATGCTTTGGTCCAGCATGATCTTGCAGGCAGGTCACCTGACTGGATCTAGGAAAGGTGTCTTGACTGTTGCTCTACCTGCCTTTTGGGAAAATTTCCTTTTCTTTAGTTCATATGGCCCCAACCCTATTAATCTTTCATAGAGCCACACAGAGAGACTCTTCTCTATATTGGGACCAGGATGAGTGTATCCTGTGATGCCAGCCTTGAGGATTGGGATACTCTTTTTTTTTTAAAGAAAATTCTCTTTTTTGTACCCTGCCCAATCACAAATTGTGAGAGATGGCTTTATAAATATTTCAGATAAATTATAGCTTATTCCATAAACTATGGCTAATAAATGGTTTAGGGCAGGGGTAGGCAACCTTGGCTCTTTTATGACTCGTGAACTTCAACTCCCAGAATTCCTGAGCCAGCATGGCTCAGCTTGGAAATCTCTTCCTTTCCCTTCAGCATGGCTGACTCAGGAATTCTGGGAGTTGAAATCCACCAGTCATAAAAGAGCCAAGGTTGCCTACCCCTGGTTTAGGGCAATATGTTAACCTAATCACTGTTTGAAAGAAGTTAGATAATAATAATAATAAAGTTGGAAGGGACCTTGGAGGTCATCAAGTCCAACCCCCTGTTCAGGAAGGTAACCCTATACCATTTCGGACAATTGGCTTTCCAGTTTCTTCTTAAAAACTTCCAGTGCTGAAGCATTCACCGCTTCTAGAGGCGGGTTGTTCCACTGGTTAATTGTTCTAACTGTCTGGAAGTTTCTCCTTAGTTTTAGGTTGTTTCTCTCCTTGATTAGTTTTCCTCCATTGCTTCTTGTCCTGCCTTCAGACACTTTGGAAAATAGCTTGACTCCCTTTTCTTTGTGGCAACCCCTGAGATATTGGAACACTGCTATTTTGGTTTGTTGAATCAGGGTGTACTGGGTTATTACTGCATTCTCAAAACACACTGAAACATAATCCCTAGCTCAGGAGTAGGCAACTTTGGCTCTTTTATGACTCGTGGACTTCAACTCCCAGAATTCCTGAGACAGCACTGGCTCAGGAATTCTGGGAGTTGAAGTCCACGAGTCATAAAAGAGCCAAGGTTGCCTACCCCTGCCCTAGCTGATAAACCACCCTGCCTGGATTAACACATCATGCCAAAGATTAACAAAGATATAGGTTATGTTTTTGTTTCATTAATATCCCACCTTTATTATTTTTACAAATAATTCCAGATAGCGAACATATCCAATATATCCAGTACACCGTTTTTCTTACAACAACAACCCTGTGAGGTGAGTTGGGCTGAGAGAGTATGTCTGGCCCAAAGTCACCCAGCTGACTTTCATGCCTAAGGCAGGACTAGAACTCATGGTCTCTGGCTTAACCCCTAGATCAAACTAACCTAACTGGTTGTGTGATCTCAGAGTTGTTTGAAGATTGAAGATGTATATTTAGTAGCTTTGAATAGAAGTATAAGTAACCAATGAATGGAAGAACATCAATGGCTAGACCTTTATTCTATGGTTCAGATGGCAATGTTTTCCCTGCTCTAATTGCAGGAATAATTCTCCAAGGTGCTTCTGAAGAATTTCCCATGACCTGCCTGATGTATTTTAAGTGGAAATGTCAGAGACCAAACATAGATTGCTCGCCACATACACATGTGCTGTATCCAAAACTCTGGTCCTTCAGGTCGGATGTGGTTGTGTTGCTGTAACATGTGAAAGCCCCTCCAAATACGAATCAGAAGTTTGTCTTCATCACAGACATTGACTTGGTGATGAATGGCAGAGGGACCTATTTCAAGTATCGTTAAAGCTGTTTTTTCCCCCTCGCCAATGCCACTGTTTTTGTGTCTAGGTGCAGATGTAATTTCACTGCTGAGAAGTATTCTGAGCCCATTCCCGTTGGGTCTGCGATTGAACAAGCTAGAGGCCATAGTGTGGAGTAAACATAAGATCCATCTACTTAAACTAAGCCTGGAGCAAGGTTACAGGGACAGCCTTCAGTTTTTACAAGCAGTGCCTGGGATCATCCTCAAATTCCAGCACAAGAAGCCTTTCCGATGCCTTGTGCAGCTGGATACAGGTAAATCTCTCTATATTTAGTTGGGATCTTTGGGCTCTTTATTCAAGGCTTTTATGTCTCATTTGAGATTGGTATTCCCATCTCAAATGGGATCCCAGTTAGATGTTCAGATAACATCACAATTAGATGTTGAAGTCATTTCATTAGACGTTGAAGTCAAAAGCTTTCAGTTAGCTTTTGCCAACCTGTCCCCTTCCAAACTCCCAATTTTAGGTAGCAGTGTTCCACATCATGGCAAAGGGACCACCATGGCAAAGGAAGGAACATGGTTGGTATAATAAACTGCAGGTCACAGGTTATGATGTAAAGCAGGGGTCCCCAACCCCCGGTCCATGGACCAGTACTGGGCCGCAGCATGCCAGCAACTGGTCCGCACAAACAAGCAGAGCCCCATCCACGGGATGCAGGCAGTACACAAAACTACGCACCCTCCGGTCTGCGGAATCGGTCCCTGGTGCCCCAAGGTTGGGGACCTCTGATGTAAAGACTCTTAGGCTGGGGAACTCCTGTCAGTTTTTCATTAAATATATAAATGATCCAACCAGATCTAGTGAAGCAGGGAAATAGGATTCCTACTCTGGAGCCTTTGAATATCTAATTATTTATCCCCCTTGCCTCTTTTGTAGCTGGTGGCAAAGTTTCACACTGATTATCTCACCATAGCAGACACATCCAGAAAGAAACTGTGGTATTGCAAGATCCCCGAGAGTGTTCATCATAAAAAGTGGGAACAGAATGGCGCTCAGATTTCAGATTTAATCCCAAGGTGAAGCTGATTTAATCTCAAGATGAATTATTTCTGAAAATGGAATTCAGCCTATAGAGGGCACAATATCCCTATTTTTGTAAGGCCTTTAAAAAAAAAAAAGCAATGTTAACCTAACATTCGGATGCTTGGTGTTAATAACTAAATGAGATTGTATTAAAAGGAGCTTCGGAAATTAGTTCCTCACACCGGAGCAGGCTAAATGTCTATTTGATTAGAATGAGGCATAGGAGATAACATGAATTATTCAAACCTTTATAATATTAGCATTTCTTTTGTGCTACTTAAGAAGGGGCACCTGGCATGTGGTTCACCTACAGGGTTCTTAAAAAAAAGTAGTGAAAATGGTATTTTCTTTTGCGGTTACGCAGCATCTTTTTAAAAAAATTCTGTGCGTGGGTAAACCAATCAATCAATGGATATGGGCAGGTAAGACGAGGTGATTGGTGGTGCCAAGGACAAAGTCCATAAGAATATGGATATCTCCAGCTTAAAAACCTATGGAAAGCAGAGCATTTACATTTGTTGCAGCTTTTCTTTCGGGCACCGATAGAAGGCAAATTAGAATGTAATGAGAGCTTGCCGAGTGATCTTCAGTAGATGGCCAAGTGGCCTAATATCCATTCCATTCTAGGGTACTAAAGTGAAAGTGTGTGTATGTGTGAAAAGCACGACAAACCTAATTCTTGTATTCATAATAACTCCTGACCCGAACATGCGCACACAGCCACTTCCTTCATCTAAAAGATGGTTGATTCTCTCTGTTACAACTATGTGTATAAGATACACGCAGTTAGAGAAATATATTGTCTATAATTTTGCACTTGGCAGACAGGGTTTAAAGCAGAAAGACAAGTAGCTTGAAGTTTGGAGCCTGTGTTGTAGAAATACCAACAAGAAGATGGCCCCTTCGTTGGACTTTCTCTGCAAGGATTACAGACTCCTGGGATGGGTCTTAGTAAGCATAAATCTATTTCCTTTGATCACGCTGAAAAATTGCTGTGTGATACAATCACATGTTCTGTTTCTTTGCCCTCAGAAGCGCCACTGTGTATTTTCCAGTTATTTTAAAACACTAGTCAATCAGGAACATTGGAGTCTTCTGAACAGAATGTAAAATATCACAGGTCTGTATCAAACTTCCAATTTAATTATCTAGTTCTTTTTTGCTCTCTCATTCTCTTTTTAGCTGGATTCAAATATGTATGAATCTGTTTCCCACCTTCACTGAGTCAATGAACAAAATAGCAAAGGAAATTTTATTGATCCATAAAGAAAAGCATCTAAAATATCTTAACTGAGAAAAACTCTGCACTAGGGCCAGTCAAATGTAGCAAAATGATGAACATACATTTGAATTCAAGTGTTCCAGTCTTGTGCAAAGCAGGGATGAGGTTAAAAACAAACTGACTCTTGTTGTCACTAGAACTATACTTTTAACTCAGGATTATAGAGAGTCCATTAAAGACAACCAAGCAGCAATTCTTTGCTCACGGCAAAAATCCGGATAAGACATTCCTGACAGAGATTGTCAAGGTTCTCCTTGAATATGGGTTCATTGTTGTATTGCACCTCCTGTTAAGGGTGTTTTCCTGGCAATTAAATTGGAATTTGCTTTCTTGTAACTAAAGACCATCGGTTACACATCCCACACTTTGAAGAGGCAGAGAACAGATTGTGAGTGTCTCCAGACCTTATCACATCCCTCCTCAGTCACAATCATCTCTTCTCAAAGTTAAATGTATTCAGGTATCTCAGTCTGATGTTTCCTAGAGCTATCTTTGTAGTTATTGTATTGTCTTTCCCTAGCAATTTTTTTTTTTTTTGGCTAGAATTTAAGATGATGACATTAGCTGAGGTTTCCAAATGGAAGGCCATGCCACTCCCATAAGACGTTGGATTGTGGTACAATTAAGTTCCTCCTGCAAACACATCAAGAGAAGATGGAAAATTATGATATGATGGAATTCATCTCCATGAGATGCTCAAAGATTGGGATTTGGGAGTGGGGCCAAAGAGTTTCAGAGAACCTGAAAGTTTTGCTCCAGGGGGATCTGCAAAGTCAAGATGGTGGACTCAATCTTTAAGAAGAGATTGGACTGCCATTTGTCTGAAACGGGATAGGGTTTCCTGCCTGAGCAGGGGATTGGACTAGATGACCTCCAAGGTCCTTTCCAACTTCATTTTTATGATGATGATGATGATGCAGTCAAAACTCTGCCCATGTTGTGTTGTGACTGCTATCTTGACTTTGTTGACCATACTCTGGGAACACTCCTGCTTTGCTCCCTGTGTTTACTCTATAATATAGTGTTCAGTAATAGACTTTAAAGTGGATTGTAAGAGGACTAGATGGCCTTACTCTTCCATCTTCCATGAAATCTTTATGGAAGACACATTTTTCTTCTATTTACCGGCTTCCCAGAATCACTGTTTTTTTCCTCCTTTTTCTCTGTTTGTGTCCACAGATTTGTAAACACTCAGTCCATCACTCCTCCTCTCTAAATGTATTTCTTCAGAAACCAGTGAACTTCAATATACTGACTCTGATCCCTTAAATCTCATTCTACTTTCTGCCTGCCTTCAGTTCAATATCCTACTTTGATAGGAGAAGGGAGTCTAAAATACAATCTGATATAGATAGAGCAACTTCCCCCTTTTAATTCCAAGCAGAGGAATGCATGTGTAACTTCCATTTTTATCAATTTGTACTGGGGGAAAGGTGGCCAGATGCTTAATATTGATTCTGGGTGTTTCACCAGCTTCACCCACAAATGATTGAACAGCTCATGACAATGTTTCTGAGATGCATGCTGGTTTCTAATTCATCCCGCCCCGTTAAAAAAAATGTTCAGCTTGCTTGATTGGATTCACAAACATTTGTCACCATATAAACAGGAAGTCCAGGGCCTAATTTTGCAAAGGTACCATGGGAAAGGTCATTAGTTTTTTTTTAAAAAAAAGTCTATAGCAGAATGTATTAGGAGTTCCAGCTTCTAATCAGCTTTCATTCTTCCTTGCAGTTGAATCACATCTGTCTCTATTACTTCTAGCTGGACCTGGGTTAATCTCAGATATGCCTTCCCCCCCCCACACCGATTGTCTCAGAACTTCAAAGATAATTCAGAACCGTGGCTGATGTCCATATTGAGGCCTTGGCAGATGTCCCCAAGTTCTGGGAAGGCCTATATTGGGAGGCTTATGGTATAGTTGTCCTTGTAGTCTTCCTAGGGGTATGTAACCAGGGGACGGAACCATGCGCCCATGGGCTATGTAAAAAGGCATTCTCGGTTCTTCTGGGACGTGGCCAGAGCCTCGGTGTTTCATCAACTCCTTTGCTGGTGTAACTTGATAGCCCCATTTCTGTGAAAAAGTGAGGAAAAGAAACATTATCAGATTTAAAACCAACATGTATGTCCATAGCAATGTTTCTCAACCTTGGCAACTTTAAGACGCATGGACTTCAACTCTCAGAATTCCCCAGCCAGAAATCTACACATCTTAAAGTTGCCGATGTTGAAGAACAGTGACCTATAGGCTTCTCTTTGGGTTTTCATAACACACTATTTCATGATTGCGTAAATTGTGCCTGAGTGACATACAAATGGTCCTCAACCTATGACCACAACTGGGATCAAACTATCTGTTTCTAAGCAAGGTGACTGTTGCACCTGATTTTATGATCTTTTTGCCATGGTTGTTAAGCACATCACAGCAATGGTTATCATGGAGTCATTAAATGAGTCTGGATTCCCCCACTGACTTTGCTTGTCAAAAGCCTGATAGGAAGGTTGCAAATAGCGATCACATGACCTCATGATATTGCAAACATCAGAAATACATGTCAAGTGCCCAAATTCTGAGTGTGTGACCATGAAGATGCAGCAATGGTCATAAGTGTGAAGACTAGTTTTAAGTCACTTTTTAAGTGTCATGGTAATTTTGAATGGTCACTAAATGAATGGTTGTAAATCGAAAATTACCTGTAGTTGCCTGGGTCTGCGTATCACACTAAACCAGGGGTCTTCAAACTTGGCCCTTTTATGACTTGTGGACTTCAACTCCCAGAATTCCTTAGCCAGCGTGCCCTGGACTAAACCTTAACTAACTGGCTACCTTCACTGAGTAAATGTGAACCAAATTTAGATAAATTGATCCCAAATTTAGACAAATATTCAAATTCTCACTATTGTCAGAAGCATGTCAGTGAAAAATAGCATGGACGCTTATGTGTTCTTCCCCCTAACTATTGCCACTGAAAACATAATTATCAACCATTGGATTCTAATGATTATCTATTGATTATTCCCATAGATTATTAATAATAGATTTGTTATTCTGATAAATTCTCAGCAGCCCACTGACCACAGGTGCAACCCAGCATTGTTATCAAATGTCGCTAATAGCTGAGAGAACAGCTCCTGAACACCTGCAAAGTATAACTTAGCAACTTGCTTTTACAAATCTAATGGGTTTACAGGGCTGGGCTTTCAGATGTGTGTGAGTTAGGGTTAGGGTTAGGGTTAGGATTAGGTGGGGGGGAGAGATCCTGACTTTCCCATCTTCACTCATTACTGCTGCATTGTGGCACAAAGGGATTAAAAAAATCCTCTCCAGGTGAAGACTGCCTACCCCACAACCTTCAAAAAAACAGGGGCAATTGGCAACTCTTCAGTTTTGTTATTCTGTGGTTTTCCTGGTTCAGTCTGGGTGTCACCTTGATCAATATTGACCAAAGGTGCTGTGGTGCCTATATCTATTGGCTGAAGGTGGAGGCTGGAGAAAGAAAATATTACTCAGATATCTTTTTTTTTTTTCTGTAGGCACTTCTCAGAATTGGGCTGGAGCAATTAGGTACCCTAATTAACACAGGCACTCAGTTGTGGAGTTTGAATACCACCATTGGGCTCATTGTGGTAGTTACTAAGGCAAAATTCTTCTACCTCAGCAACTTTAAGATGGGTGGACTTCAACTCCCAGAATTGGCTGGTGAATTCTGGGAGTTGAAGTCCACCCATCTTAAAAGTTGCTGAAGTTGAGAAGCACTTGTACTAAGACATAACATCCATACCTTGTTTCCATATGCTGGCTAATTAATTCCTATGCTGCTTCCTTCCATTTCAGTGGCTTGCTTTACACAGTGTGCTAAGTTAATAGTTTAGTGTCATATAGTAGTCCTTGATTTACAACCATTCATTTAGGGACAATTTGAAGTTGCAACAGTTCTGAAAAAAGTGACTTACAACCAATCTTCATACTTAACGACCATCACAGTATCCGCACAAGAACAAGCCCTGGGCATCTGGCATGTTATTTATGACAGTGGAAGCAGCTGGGGTTGTGTGATTGCCATTTATGACCTTCCTAGCTGGCTTCTGACGAGCAAAGTCAATAGGAGAAGCTGGCTTTGCTTATTGACCCACATGATTACATTAAGAATGGCAGTGATTCACTTAACAACCCTGGAAAAAAGGGTCGTTAAAAAAAACCATGCTGAAAAAGGTCATAAAATTATTAACTGCCTTGCTTAATAACAGGAATTGTGGTTGTAAGTTGAAGACTAATTTTAGTCAACTGTAGCAATTCACACAACACCCTAAGATGAAAACAAAGATGCCATCTTGTTGTAAGGCCATATGTGACCCCACTTAGGGTTCTGTATAAAGGATATATAGGACAATATCCCTACAACCCTGGGTATCCTTCAAATATATGGACTTCAATTCCCAGAATTCATTCTGTGGCCATCGTGGCTGAGGAATTATCGGAAATTAAATCCCCATTTCTGCAGGGTCTAGGACAGGGGTCTTCAAACATGGCCCTTTTATGACTTGTGGACTTCAACTCCCAGAATTCCTCAGCCCGGCATGCCTAGAGTTGAAGTCCACAAATCATAAAAGGGCCGAGTTTGAAGATCCCTGGTCTAGGACACTCACTACGGCCATCTTGCCATGGACATTTTGCTGTAGCGAACCTGCTGTAACCGTCTTGCTGCAGCCATCTTACCATAGCCAACTCGCCATGGAACAACTTGCCCTGGACAATTCCATGCGAGATAATGTGATAATATTATCCCCCACAGTTTCTTCAAAATTATTTCCATTTTTTTCAATGGAAATAGTGTCGAAGAAATAGCGGCAGATAACATTTATCGCACTGAGCAATCCCGCGTGGAATTGTCCCACAGCGAGTTGTCCCACAGCAAGATGGCTGCTGTGAGATGGCCGTGGTGGATTGGCTGTGGCAAAATGGCTGCAGTGAGTTGCCCCTTGGCGAGTTGGCAGTGGCGAGATGGCCGTGGCAAGTTGTCCCATTCTGCATTTCTAGATTATGTCTAGCTTAAGAAAAGCCAGCATATAATAAAGCAACACTGTTTTCTATGTTTAACATCCCCCAAACCTGCCCGTGAGTTAATTGCTCTGCCTCTCAAATAATGGCAAAAAGCAGATCTATAGATCTGTAGAGTGGGCTAACCTTTATTATTAACATAAATGTATTGTGTATTAGCTAGCTGTTCAAGGCACTGTTTGTCTAAAACACTGTTATTCCTGCTGCATTATAGTTTGGCTAGGAGCTGGAAAAAGTTCAATTTTGTCTCCTCAGGCAGCCTATAGCAGAGCATTTCAAACTTTTTCAATATGTAAATACCTGTTAAAAATTTCCCAAAACTCCAATGAAGGCAAAGATCTAGTGATCCAAAATTGTCTCTCCTCCTCTCCCCTCCCTTCCCCTTCCCTTCCTTTTGTGATACAGTTCGAAAATCCCTGGCCTAGAAAAACTATTCATTGTTTGAGAAATACCCCTCTATAGAGGGATAATATTCAGCTATAACAACATAATATGTAGGTATAGGATGTTGAATACGTGAACATGATCCATTGATGCTAAATATTTATCCTCATCTGAGCTCTTTACTTACAGGAAAGATGCCAAATTCTGTGTTTCTAAAATCAGAATACCTAATCACTTGCCAGTTTTAAATAATTAGCTTAGCTTGATTAGGAGGTAGGAACAAAAATGGGGAGGGGGAGGTAGTTTGTAGAGGTGGTTTAACTGCATGAAAATATCTCAGATTGGCCTAGTTCACACAACATATAAAGCTAAAATGTGGCTGGCTCAGCTACTGTCTACACCCAGCTAGTTCATTAACTAATGGTTAAGAAGATCATGGCTTAGCATATGATGCAGACATAACCACTGAGAAAGCAATATTCCGGTTGCTTTCTTTCTGTGTGTTTTAAGGTAATAATACTATTTAAAATTCACCAACTATATTTGGCAATTTTAATTCATGTAATTAAAATGGGGAAATATGGTCCTGTTATGTATCAAAGATTTGGGAGGGAAGTGAAGAGTGATAATTTGGTTTTCACAATAATCAAAAATCCTGACAACACAACATCCCCAAATTTGGTTTTTGCAGCAGCTGGAATGCCTCAAGAAGCACCGAATGTTGGTGCGACCACAGATGGAATTTACAAACAGCCAAGCTTTTTCTTCTATACATATCCAGAATTCATGGAGAAAGCAAAACCAGAAAATATAATTACTGCTCTTTTCAGGGTTTTCCATTTGACCTTCTGAACAAACCAGGATTAGACAGTACTGAAATTATTGGTTTCTATGGAAACCTAAATTACAAGAGTTCTTTGGATTCCTGGGGAGTTGAGAGCTTAAGCTGCGAAGGAGAAGGGAATACGCCGAAAATCAAATGTGCTTTATGGAAAGAAGAATGGGGGAGGGTGGCATAAACCATATTTCTCTCTGGAAATTCTCTCTGATTCATGCATCATTTTATGAACAATATGATAACAACACAACAATCACATTTGCCAAGTAACTTGAAGAACGTGGATCTATGTCAGCAGTGGACAAATGGCTGTCCAAATCTCTTCTTAAAACCTCCAGTGATGGAGTACCCACAGCTTCTGAGAACAAGCTGTTCCACTGGTTAATTGTTCTCACTATTAGGAAATTTCTCCTTAGTTCTAGGTCAGTTCTATCCTTGATTAGTTTCAATCCATTGCATAATATAATAATAATAATAAAGTTGGAAGGGACCTTGGAGGTCATCTAGTCCAACCCCCTGCTCAGGCAGGAAACCCTACATCATTTCAGACAAATGGCTGTCCAGTCTCTTCTTAAAAACGTCCAGTGTTGGAGCATTCACAGCATCTGGAGGCAGGTTGTTCCACTGGTTAATTGTTCTAACTGCCAGGAAGTTTCTCCTTAGTTCTAGGTTGCTTCTCTCCTTGATTAGTTTCCATCCATTGCTTCTTGTCCTGCCTTCAGGTGCCTTGGAAAATAGCTTGACTCCCTCTTCTTTATGGCAGCCCCTGAGATATTGGAATATTGCTATCATATCCCTCTTCATTAAACTACCCAATTCATTAGACATACCCAATTCCAGCAGCCTTTCCTTATATACTTTGGCCTCCAGCATCTTTGTTGCTCTTCTCTGTACTCTTTCTAGAGTCTCAACATCTTTTTTACATCGTGGTGATCAAAATTGGATGCAGTATTCCAAATGTGGCCTTACCAAGGCATTGTAAAGTGGTATTAATACTTCACGTGATCTTGATTCTATCCCTCTGTTAATGCAGCCCAGCACTGTTTTGGCCTTTTTGGCAGCTGCAGCACACTGCTAGCTCATATTTAAGTGAAGAATAAATTGATCCCATCTTCTTTGGGCACGCCTCAAATACTAGAACACTGCTATAATGTCACCCCTATTCCTTCTTTTCTCTAGACTAGCCATACCCAATTCTACAAACATTCTTCATAGTTTTAACCTCCATCTTTGTTGTACTTCTCTGCACGCTTTCCAGAGTCTCAACATCTTTTTTATAATGTGGTGACCAAAACTGAATGTAGTACTCCAAGTCTGGTCTTACTAAGGCTTTATAAAGCAATACTAATACTTCACGTGATCTTTATTCTATCCCTTTGTTAATACAAACTAGGATTGTATTCTAGGATTGCAACCCAGGATTGATCAAAGTATTCGCATTCCTCCCCCCAATTTCATTACATTGGCTTGTGAAAAGAAGATAAGACCGTGGCTGAATTCACTAAGATATGATTATAAATCATAATTCAGTGTGTATATAACATGTTAAAGCCACGATTTCCAGTCTGCAAAGGATAGGATTCCACAGTATTTATAAGTGTCTATGGAGATTCTGAATCATCCAGATCATGGTTGTCCCAAAGATGCTTTTCGAAAAACAACTGGATTTTCTTGGGTTTTTCCCCCTGAAAACGTTTGGCTTCTCCTCCATAAAGCTTCCACAGTTCTCACTCAGAACTGAAGAAGATATTTGGATGAGAAATGAAATATTTTCAAGGGAAAAAAAAAAAGCTCCAAAGACCAGTTGCTTTTTGAAAAGCGCCTTTGGGACACAGTATGGCAACTAACCAAATTGTCCCCTACTTCTCAATTCTCACCAAAGCAGTTGGAAGACCAGTTGTCACTTCTGTTGATTCAAAAACAATGACAGTATCAGTGGCTCACCCTGATTTCTCCCAAGAGGGAAAGAATAAAAACAGAAGCGTGTGGAAAGGTGGAGAGAAGCGGGAATGTATCCATTTCACCTCTGCTGGCTTCACCCCTCAGGGGGATCTGTCAAGCTGTCAAGCCACTATTTCTTTACATAACACTTAGTCTAACCAGAGCTTATGCTAGCCAAGGTTTTCTCAAATTTAGCAATTTTAAGATCTGTTGGACTTCAGCTCCCAGAATTGAGGTCCACATGTCTTTGTTGCCAAGTTTGAGAAATACTGGTTTAAGCTGAGTACAAGCAGTATTTTGCAACCTTGGCAACTTTAAGATGGGTGGACATCAACTCCCAGAATGATGGGAGTTGAAGTCCACCCATATTAAATTTGCTAAGGTTGAGAGACTTTGAATTACAAATTTAGCTGACAGAGCGCACAGGGTTGAATGCAGTTGCTTCATTGCAGGCTAGAGTGTTTGGCAAACATATTTGTAACCTTGGGGGAAAAAAAAAATCAGCATTACTTACTTTAGCTTCTTCAGCAGACTCTATGCCATTTCGTCCCCAGCCTCTTGTGCTGGACCCAGACAGCTGGCTCAAACGGCTGAGGTCCCATAAGGACTTACTGGGGCGAGCCCCCGTAGTCTTAGCAGCGGAGAGTCGGTTTCGTTGGACGTTCCTGTAAATATCGCTAAGAGCGCTGGGCCCATCAGGAGGTCCCTGTTGGCCCCCTCCAGAATGGCCCACACCCCGCCATGCTGCAAGTCGATTTCGGAGTGATGCTTTGGGAGGAGAGGCAGGCAACATGGGTTCTTCAGCAGTAGCCGGCGAAGCTAATACAAGTTCCCACTCACCTGCCCGGCTCTTGGCCACGGGTTGAGGGGCCACCGAGCGTCGTTCTGCAATTCGGTGGGACAGCTGCACCCCATCCAACACACTGATGTACGGGGCCACATCTGGCCCATTGGTGCTAGATAGCGGGGCCACAGAAGCAAGCTGGAGGTGAGGGGGCATCTCCAGGGCTGGCAGGGGGCAAGAAGCCGCATACAAAGTGCGAAATTCCTGGTCAAACGCATCGGTCACTTCTCCCGTAAGGCGAGTGACCAGGTGGCGGTTCAAACGAGCATCAGTCCAGGTGAAGCTGTTGGGGGAAAAAAGAGAATTTTGGCTGTGCATCTTAGTCACTTCAGATTCTGAACTTTCTCATGGAAATACAAGAAAAGCTTAATTTTATTTGCCATGAATGTTTCTCAGTCATTGCCTTGCCCTGCCCAGAAGCCCATTCTTGGAAAATGTGTTTCTATAGAGTGGTCAGAAAAGTTAAGATGGCAGCCATGATGATGCCATCAAAGTCCCATCTCCTTTTTATCTGTGAGCCAGACAAAATGGGCAGAACTTTGAATGTACCATTGATTGAAGTCTTTTCGTTCATCTCTGTACAGGAAATCCCTGACTTATAACTATTTGTTGACTGACTGCTTGAAGTTACAATAGCACTGCAAAAAATGACTTATGATCAATCCTCACAGTTACAACTGTTGCATCATACCTACAGTCACATAATAAAAATTTGGGATCTTGGCAATGGGCATGCATTTACGACAGTTGCACTGTCCTAGAGACATGAGATCACCATTTGTAATCTTCCCAGCCTGCTTCTGACAAGCAAAGTCAATGGGGGTGGGGGTGGGGAGCCAGATTCACTGAATGACCACATGGTTCAATTAGCAATGACAGTTTAACCATGGCCAAAAGGTCTAAAATGTGGCACAATACACTTAACAACTGTCTTGCTTAATGTGAAGTGACCAAAGCATGAAAGACTGTGAGAAGAGATTTCCAGTTCAGGAAGGAGCACAGTTGGTGCACAAGATGAATTTGTCTACAGCTGCTACGTGTTCATGGAGCAGGGGCTGTGAGTTCAGAAAGACCACAAACTGCACACCATCTCTGAAGGGGTGGAAATCACCGGCACCAGAAAACCGAGTGTTCATAACCACTCGGCTTTGTCAGGGCTAAGTTGGGATTTTCACATGTGCTTGGTTGGATTTCCTCTTCCTCGTTCTCCAATTGCATTTCTTCTGCTGTTTTGTCATCTATAGTTCTTCAGAAAAATAGGCACATTGATCACTGAACAAGAAGAGATATAATCGAATCCAAGGCCCTTGTCACAGACCTACTTGTATTTTGGGCAAAGACCAAAGCCTTAGTCAAATTGCCTACCACAGTGCTTCTCAATCTTGGCCACTTTAAGATGTGTGGAATTCAACCCAGCATGGCTGTCTGGAGAATTCTGGGAGTTGAAGTTCACACATCTTAAAGTAACTGAGGTTCAGAAACACTGGCCAACCACATATATCCAGAAGGAAAATCCCCAAACTCTCTCTGAAACCCAATAGAAATCACTAGTTATCCAGGTTAGGCCATCTCAATAGGGTCTCCCTCCCTAAGACTTGTCTCCTTAACCAGTGTACAGGTAGTCCAATTATGGCCATAATTGGAACCTGAATTTCCATGGTTTAGCAAGATAAGTGAGTCACATCCAATTTTTAGGACTGTTTTTGCCACTGTTAAATGAATCATTGCAGTTGTTAAGTGAATAATGCAGTTGTTAAATAACTCTGGCTTCCCCTGTTGACTTTGCTAGTTGGAAGCTGGCTAGGAAGGTTGCAAATAGCCATAGCATGATGCTAAGATGGTACAATTGTCTTAAATATATGCCAGTTACAAAGTGCTCAAATTATGTATACATGACTGGCGGGTTTAAGTGCAAGGGCCGTTTTTTTAGTGCTGTTGTAACGACCAATGATTGCTAAACAAAATGGTTGTAAGTCGAGGACTACCTGTAACTAGACTGGTTTTGCCCTATCCAAATCATTGCTGCCCAAAGAGATAAATATAGAGATGGAAAAGGCATGCATGAAAAAAAAATATGATTAAGAGAGTATGACAGGAAATTTATCAAATTATGCATGGTACCTGATAAGCAGATACTTTTCTCTAGTCACATTGGAGCACTCAGTGGAATGACTAAGCAGGAGATTCAAGACAAGACAAAGAAATTTTGTGCATGCAAGACTTAGTTCATTTGTAGGATATATGCCATCATTTGTAGTAATGCTGCACTACTTTCGATTAAGATTTATGGATTTTTGTCTTCAAGAAAGAGCTCACCTCAGTTTTAATATTGAAAATAAATTCTTATGATCAGGATAAACTCAGCTCTTTTTCATCTGGCTCTGGTCAACCACTCATTGAATTCCAGTAAAACAGAACAAAGATCCGACAGATCAAGTTAGCGCATTCCTGCCCCAGATGGTTTTTACATACAGTCTTTCAAATTAAGCACAATTAAATGAAGCTTCCATGGTCTCTGGCAGTATACCTGTCCTTTGGCATAGCCTTCCCTCTGCAATACATCTGACCTAACACTAATGTGCTTTAGACATCTTTTAAAAACTCATTTTTTAAAATTGGCATCCTCCAGCCATTAATTCTCCTTAGCAACCTTTGATGGAATGCTTTTAATTTTGATTTTTAAATCTTAAGATTTGACAGACTTATAAACCACTTCAAGATTCTTTGCAATAAGCAAGAGTATAAAAATATTTCTAATAAATAAACTATAAATAAATAAACCTTTCAACCCCAGTTGCTTGGAGACAACAATTTGAAAGGGTTACTGTGCTGCCATACTGGGAAATGTTCACAAAGCATCAGATTTGCCACTGTAGGAAACAGGATCTGGCAAAGTTCATCTTGCATTCTCTGAGAGGGATAGGTCAAGCAAACATCCTGATATAGACCTATCATTTTACTGTTAATCTGTTTACAATCAAGGTTCTCCACTTTAAGCATAAGTATATTGTGTGAATGCATCCATTAAGATGCAAACTCACAACATCACGTGACGTGTCGCGACATATTGCAACTTTTTTGCCATTGCAAAAAAAAAAAAACCCAACCCCAGGAATAACAGCAGTGCAAATGCAACTCTAAATTTTTAACTGGCCTAGTTAATCAAGTTTGGTATACAACATTTACTGATGCATTAGCAGAAAGCAGTGGGGACTGCTGAACTGTAGGGTGGATTAAGTCAGATTCAATTCATAGAATCGGATGAGTTTTAGACTTAGAGACTACCTTCTCCCACCCTGCACAAGACAGACTTCACAAGGCAAGAAGCTTCTGTAGCCATATTATTAAGCCGCATATGGCCAAACCATACTTACTCCACCAGAGGGGAGCACCTACTACCTCATAAAGGAGGCAGTATCACTGTCAACCAGCTCTCATCATTAAAAAAGTTTCTCCCAATGTTCAGCCAAAATCTATTACCTGACTTCTGTTTATTGCTTATAACTAGTAGCCTCAATCATTGACGATCAGTGGAGATTAGCTTTGAAGGCCATCTGCCGAGAGAGTCTAGTCTGGGCTTCTTGGTGCAGCTGGTTGGCTGCTGTGAGAACTGACTGCTGGACTAGAGGGCAAAGGGTCCAATCCAGTAAGGCAGGGGTCCCCAACCTCTGGTCCATGGTGCAGTACTGGTCCGCAGCATGCCAGCAACCGGGTTGCACAAACAAGCAAAGCCCCATCCGCGGGATGTAGGCAGCACACAAAGCTACGCATTTTCCGATCCGTGGAAAAACCTTTCTCCATGGAACAGTTCCTGGTGTCCAAAAGGTTGGGGACCTCTGCAGTAAGCCACTGCTTGTGTTCTCACACTCTTAATCGTGATCTCCACAATGACAAAAAAATGCACTTTGGCTTTTTGACGCAACGATGCAGTGCCAGATGAACCAAGCGTTGACCTGGTGATATCAGGAGCAGCCATCTTGGCCGCTATCACAATCATGTTTTCAGCTGATTGCACTTTTCCTCCAAAACATTTTAAGAAAAAGAAGAGGGAAAAAAGACAAAATTCCCACAGAAATATTGTACTGGGCAGACAAGAGAAAGAATCAACAGGGATAAAAGAGTGAAAAGTCTGTTTTGCCCTTAAAAAAAAAACCTAAAACAAAACAAAAAAATTGAGCTGCCACTACTGGAAAATCTTCGTTTTATGGGTTCACTTTAGCCTTCTGTCTCTGCCAGAGGCTCAAAGACAGAACTAATTTCTTCTATGTTTAGATTACAAAGGAAAAAAACTAGGTGAGTCACTCAGCAACTAATCTTGCATATTTTAGATGGGGTTGCTCTCAGTCTTAACTCAGAAACAAATGGGCTACTATGCTTGGATGAAATTCAAGGGTATCTGCAGAAAGGATTTTAAAAAAAAAATCACAACAGCAGCCTCAGCTCCACAAGCAAAACCTCGTCCTATATAAGCAAAGCACCATCTTGACTTTTTTGATGACACCCCTGATGACATCTTAGGTCTTTGACTTGATAAGTGTGATGTGAATGTGGCTACTTGTTTCATTTTCTGGGATAGTCCTTCAGATACTTGAAAACAGCCGACGTGTCCCCTGCTGTTGTTTAATCTTTAGCTCTCCAGGCTAAACATAACCTATTCTGAGTATTTTATTTCTGTCCGTTGAGCATTTCTTTTGACACAGATACATTTAGTTAGAGGAAGTGTTTTTTTAAAGGAAATTTCTCAAGATTAATAGACAGATAGCAATCCTGTTTTGCTAGTTTCATACAGATTTCCCATGTCTATTGCCATAGTGCTCCCTCTTTAAAAGCTCTAAGAAAAAAAATTAAAAGCCTTTGGAATCTCTTGCTTGCAGTTTAAAAACCACCATAATATTTTATTCACATTGTGAAAGCCCATATCATGCCGGGAAGAATTTTAGCACTAGAAAGGCCTACATTACAGAGCAAAGATTTAGTGAGAAATTCTTATTTCAGCAATGAGCTGGATGTGCAGATATAAAACAAAGTTTATTTCAGAGGAAGCAATAATCGTATACACAGAATTCCAAGTGAAGGCATGGCTAATTGCACATTCCCTACTCGAACTGAATTTTGTATTTTCAGGACAAAATTTCTGCTAGGAAGAGAATGGTTTTGACTTCCTGATTAGATCTTGTTAGGAGAACCTTAATATTTCCACAGATATACAGCATCATTTTAAAGTGTTTTGGCTCCCCACAAAGATTCTCACTGGTGTTGTCTCAATTGTAGTACACAATGTTTTCTCTGCCTGACAGTGATTTTAAAAAAAAAAACCTGGATTCCCAGAATTCTAGATGAGCAAGAGACGTCGCAGTTTAGATAGTTTGTGTGAGAGAAAGAGGATGAAGACAGCTCCTCCCTAATAGTTCCCAGACTATTTTATTTATATCCCTTTATTATTTTTATAAATAACTCAAGGTGACAAATACATGCCTTCCTCTTATTTTTCTCACAACAACAACCCTTTGCAGTGAGTTGGGCTGAGATAGGTTGCCTGGCCTAAAGTTACCCAGCCAGCTTTCATGCCTAAGGTAGAACTAGAACTCACAGCCTCCTGGTTTCTAGCCTCAAGCCTCAACCACTAGACCAAAATATGTTTTATGGTGCAAGTAGTCTGCTGTAGTTTGATAAGATTTGTGTCTTTTGGTGAGGAACAATAAAGGAAACTGCTTTGAGAATCTCAACCCGTCTTTCTTGTTTTTTGAAGCCTGACAGGGGCCATGAGAAGGGCTTATGAAATGGCAACAAGCCTTTACCCCAGGGGTCCTCAAACCTGGCCCTTTTATAGCTTGTGGACTTCAACTCCCAGAATTCCTCAGCCAGCATGCCTGGCTGAGGAATTCTGGGAATTGAAGTCCACAAGTCATAAAAGAGCCAAGTTTGACGACCCCTGCTTTACCGCCTTCCCCACCCTTCTTCTCAATTTAGCCACACCTCCATTTCACTAGCATTGAAAAAAAGAAGCCCAAATGCCAATGAATGGGGTATGTGGCAGAGCCACTCCTCTCTCAAGATGGGGAGGATGGCAGCAGGGTGCTAGGAAAAGGGATGAAGGGCATTTCCCCAGCAGTGAGAATTGACCTCTCTGTAGCTCCAGAAGAAACACTGCAACGCTTTGCAGTGTATCTTCTGGAGCAAGACCTGAGTTGAAAATTAATTGACTAAGCTGCAGAACTATTTACAGATCAGAAGGTGATTCATGGCCTTCCAGACCAGTCAAACATGGTTGATTTGTGCAATCAAGGAGGTTATTGTGAAGTAATCGTGGGGGAGCTTATTGAAGGTTATTGTGCTGTGGGAAGTCAGCCCCCCCAGAGAAGGAAATATTAAAAGGGCAGGAAAATATATTTCCTCAAAGGATCTTAAAGAAGCAGAAAAGCATGCCCAGTTTTCTTAATAGCCCCAGGTCCCTTTCCCCCAAGCAGAAACCAGCTCTATAATGCAGATGTAAATCCAGGAAGGTTGGAAGCTCCAGCTAGAAGCTTAGAAAGACAAAGACTCCTAAAATCTACATACCCCACCCAAACTCTAAGACAGGACATAATAGGATTAACACAGAGATACCAAAGGGCACACTCAAACTCAGGTCAAAGTTCATGCCACAGGAACAACTCCACAAACAAAAGGCTCCAGAGGGTATAAAAACCCACTCGCTACATGTGCTCGCTCTTTTTTCTTCCAGAGCCATCTTTCTGTCTGGCTCTCCAATAAACTGCAACCTTCTTTCTAAAACAGTCACCATGTTGTTTATCCCTGGCTTGGACTGAACCATGATGAAGACTTTTCCTTCAACAGTGCAACTCTGTGAAGCCACCTATAGAATCAGATCTCTGATATTGTACAGGTCTCTATATGGGCAAATTCTATAAGGAAGCTGAAATGGTGATGTCCCTGTCTGTGAGTAATCCTAATCAAATTAAAATGCCCCTTCCTTTAATGGACTGCCGTCATGATTAAATAATTTCAGTCTTCTTTAAAAAAAAACCTTCCCCTGAATTAGATCACACAGAACCACTGGGGGATTCAGTCAGTTCGCACCACTTCAGCAGAACCGGTAGCTAATTTTTTGTTGCCCAGGACCAGAACTTCTGGAAGCAGCATCCACACAGAGAACCTGTTTGAATCCCATCATTGCACAGAACACATTCTGAATTGAGTAAGTAGGTGACCACTGTTCTACATGCTCAAGCAGGGGTTGGACTAGAAGACCTTCAAGATCCCTTTTCACCCTATGATTCTAAGATTCTATAGTCCCATATTCAGTTGTTGGTGCATCCAGATGAAAAGATCCAGGAAACAGTGATGAAAAGACAGGAAGTTGTTGCTACTGAGAATAATTAGAAGACTAAGTGGAGAATAAATAATTTAAGGCAAATATCCTATATTCCACAGCTGCCTTTTATATCTAAAGCAATTCAAATTATGCACAATTTCTACTCCAAATTCCTAATTTAAGATGGAACGTTTTCCTTTTACCAAAATGCACACAACTTAACCAAAACCTCACCAAAGCCAGAGTCTCTGCGAAGAAGTTCAAGCCCTTAGTCCGAATCTGTAGAGGAGTAAATGCACAAACTGATTGACCACAGGAGAAATTCATGGCCCAAATTTGAGGAAGCAGAGCAATTGCAAGCTGGTCTGTATGATTCACTGCCATCAAAAAGCAACGAGGAGAAATTGTGCTTAAACTTGGGAGACAGCAGGGTGGCAGTGTTCCACACAGCAATCTGCTGCCACCACCACAGGGAACAAAATGTGATGTGTTAATGGACTCAGAGGACCTGGCTGTAAACATGGAATCTACATATTCTGAATGAATTGTGTTGTCACCAGAGTATTTCAAGGTTTTCTTTTAGTTTCTTGAATGTGCCATTTGCCTCAGTACAGCAAACCCACCTATAAACATAAATGCTCTTAGAGAAGTAATAGAACAATTGACCAGTGGAATGGCTTGCCTTCAGAAGTTGTGGGTGCTCCATCACTGGAGGTTTGTTAAAAAGAAATTGAACAATCACTTGTCTGAAATGGTATAGGGTCTCCTGCTTGAGCAGGGGGTTGGGCTAGAAGACCTCCAAGGTCCCTTCCAACTGGGTTATTCTGTTATTCCTGAAAGCTCCAATGTTGGATGGTCCATAAAGAGGAGCTTCAGTGCTGGAGGCCTATAAGTATATATTTGAGCACATATAGACAATAGAACCGTTGGTTCTGGGGAACGTAGCAAGCTGATTGCCAAGTACACAAAATGCCGTCATGTGACTGAAAAATGGCAGCTTCACTCCAAATTCCTAACCCACCCTTTATCAGTGGATTTTCCACTAATTGGTTAGAGGCCAGGTTAGAAGTGAAGAGCAATAGATATCCACAGTTTTTCCTTTCTCCTCCTCCTCCTTGGTTACCATATGACCATAGCATTGCTACCTAAAACCAGAACTGTAAAAAAAGCTGTGACATAAATGCAATTACAGGTAGTCTTTGACTTATGACCCACCATAGTTACAACAGAGCTCCCCCCAAAAGGTATTTATGACTTAGTTCTAAAGTTCCAATGGCAGTTAGTCATGTGACCACATTTCTCACATCACAAACGCAAGGACTTAACTTTCCAAAAATATCCTGATTATTTTATTGCTTGAAACTTTTTTAAAATCAGAGGAACCTCATCAGCAGGCTGATGAGAGCAAACTGAAGGAAAAGGGAAGGGTGTCTCAGGGACTGAACCCCATTGCATAAATTCCCCTTACAACAGTTGGTGACCAAGCTGTAGGTGACACCCATGTAGGCAACAGGTTGCTCTTTGCCACAGTTGATGGAGCGGGTACACCCCTTGTTCTGGATGTCTGAAACCCCCAAGGCCACCCCTTCGCCCACAAAGCAGTCTTCGTCTTCAGCGCAGCTCATCCTGAGGCCAGGACATATTGTTGAGGAAGTAATTTCACAAAAGATACAGTCCTTGGAGAAAGTGGAAGGCAGCAAGCAAACCAAGACGCACACCAGGCTAAATTGCAAAGAACACTTCATGACAACTCAGGGGAAGTGGTGCTTCTGCAGCAGTGTGGACTCTTACCACTTTAAGAGTGGTACAGAAAGGTACCAATTGATTTCCTTTTTGTAATGCTGGCGTCCTCACCAGCTTTCAAAGGGTTGTGGCTTCAGAGTCTTCAAAAACAGATCAACTTTTCCAGTTTTCAGTCAAAATGTCCAAAGGAAAAATATTCAGTTGATGGTACTTATTATGTTTCTGTTTTGTTTTTTTACAATTTCTCTTCCTAGGGCTTCAACAAGAGACTGCAGTAACTCATCTCTTCTCTAATATTCTGAATCTCAGTTGCTTATATCTTGAAAGTCTGGTACTATTGCTCAGTATATAATGGCATATAATCCACAGAAGATGTTTGGCTTTAGAAGTAAACCAGGGTGCCTTGATCTGCACTTCCTAAAGGGTAGTGTTTGCTTTTATTTCTTAGGAAAAAACTAGACTTATGAACTCTCTGGTTCCAGAAATTCAGGTAAGTTTCCACTTCACTCTTTGAGTAGCCTCCAGTAGCGATTTATAAAACCCACCAGATACAGAAGAAAATTTCTGGCTGATCTGCAGGAACTTCCCAGAGAGTTAACGTCAACTAGTCTTTCTTGAGGTGGACTTCTTATTTTTAACTACAAAACTGGATCCCAGCTCTTGGCTCTCTGCTCCTCTTGCTACATAGTCTTCATCCTTTCTACTCTAACCTGCTGAAAAAGTAGAATGAATCTCTGGCAACAGCCTCCTAGAATCTGATAACTGCTTAAGCAATGACATCACAATGGGTGTCAAAAGCTACAGTATTTGGAGAGCCAGGAATAAAGCCACCCATTGACATCACAGAGGAGTGATGTCAAATTATATGACATCATATAAGGAAGAAGCAGCACAAAGTATAGTATTCTCATAGGCCAGGCATGTCAAACTCGTGATGTATCGCGACTTTTCCCCCATTGCCGGAAATGGGGTGGGTGTGGTTTTGGCATGATGCATCTGGCCCATGGGCCGGCAGTTTGACATGCCTGTCATAGGCAAAAGATTGGATGAAATTGCCTGGTGGGTGGAGGATGAAAAGAAGAATGAACAGACAATTTCTGAATTCTTGGAGCTGGTAGTATTTGAGATCTCAAGAAGAAGAATATGGATGGGAAATTGGGAAGTGAAGCTGGATTTCCTGAAACTTGAAAAAATGACTGACTACAGGATTACTTGAATGAATCTCGTAAGGGGTTTCCATAGATCATGATCCATTTAGCACAGAGTTCTCTCCAATTCTTTACCCATCTTCACTCACCAATCACAAATGAAGACAAATATATGCGTCCTAGGATAATGACACAAGATCGAATTTGGGCCAGTCACCAGACCAGAGATTTACAAGCGAGTGGGCAGATGAGGAGACCAGAAATTATTGATAGCCTCACACTGCAATGAACAAGGACACTCATTTAATTTCACAACTACTAAGATCGTTGGCCATGCAGGTACAAAGATTGAAGCCTGGGAAACAGGCCTCCTTGTCAGTTAACAGGAGTGCTGATTTACCACCAGCTTATCAAATACTGAGAAGACAAGGGCTTGGCAGCACAAGGAAACAACAGCCAATTGCCAGCCATCAACACACCAATCAGCCAATAGGAAGGCACCACATAAACACGACTTGCAGACCAGCCCAAAGAACATATTTCAGTAGAGAGAAATTCCCTGAAGATTGGCTCCAGCATGAATCCAAAAGCTCGGAAAAGTAAATCTTTGATTCCAGTGACTGACTCAAATTCGATCTTGCATCACTCATCAATCATCTAATTTCTCCTGTGGACAACTGAAAAGCGAATCAGGAAAGGCCTCCCCAGTTCCATCAAAATCAGTTAAACTTTTCTTCCTCCAGGACTTGTATGAATCCACAGTGAAGGGAGGCCTTTGATTAAAACAGCAGAGATTTAAGCTCACATATGGGTTCTCGTCCCCTTCCCCCCCTTTTTTTTGGCACACCCAGAGGCACCTAATGTGTGTAAGGCAGACTGAAATGGAAGGCAGGCAGCGTTTTCTCGAATACCCTGCTGTCAAAAGCATAACTTCCTGTATTTCTTACCCATTACGCATCTCATTAAAGGCAGAGAGATTCTGCCTTTTGGGAAAGTGACAAAATAATCTGTCACTCAACTTGGCAGACTTCACTGTGAGTAGTTATGGAGAACAGGCAGATCAGTAGCAGAGCTTCCAGCGTGGAAATAAAATGAGAGACAATTGCTCCTGTGGGTGGATGTGCGTGCGTACCCAATTCAAGGTTTCGGAGGCTCCAGAACAAGACATGCTCAGTGGCAGAGGCAAAACCAAAAGACAAACCAAACCATCCTCTTGGGTGCCCCTGACCCATCTGGGCAATTCTTATCGAAAAATAACATTGAAGCCCACTTGCCAATATTTGAATATACTGTTATTTATTACAAGTCCCCTTTCCACTAGCAAGCAACTATATTAGTGGGTTTTTGTTTTTTTTAAACTCTGATAACTTTAATTCTGGAAACTGTAGTTACACATTATGAAGTTGCCAAGGTTGAAAAATCTTGATCTATACACACACTCAACTGTTGGAACAAAATAATAGTAATGAGATTTTTTTTACCACTTCAGTGATGGCTGAGTGATATTAGGAAGATGCTTTAAAGTCACTAGGAGGGAGGTGGCCACTAATGAACCCATAATAATCATATTACCTCAGCTCTGAAATTTCGTGAATTATCTTGTACCTTCTTCTTTCTCCTATACCTTCTTTAATATCTTTTGAATGTTCAGTCCTGATAGTTGTTTCTCCCTACATACTGATAGGGGTGAAAAACTTCTGTTTGAAACCTTCTTTCAAGCATCCTAGAGCTGTTTAGCATTTACAGTGTTCACTAATTTCCCCCCATAACTAATCCTTGATTCCATATCTTGATGTTCTACAACCCTCTCCAAGGTCATCCAGCAGCCCTTAGCCATGGCACAAAGATGCCCTGATATTGCTCTGGTCTCTTCCCCAGAACTCAGCCGAGAGACCTTAAGATCAACTCAGTTCTTCCAGTTTCAAAATAATGGTTTTCCTCTTCTTAATTTTACCATGGACACAATTTAGGATATTTCATCAACAATGCGGTGGCTAACACAATTGGAGCTGGGATCTACTATTGGCCACTTGTAGCTACTGTGAGCATACTTTCTCTAGTCACAGGGCATTGCTTTGAATGAGTTTTTGGTTTGGACTGCAGGAAGGAATGGGCACCTGCCTTCTGCAAAAAGACCTGCCCATTAATAGCTAACTGATACTGTCTGAATTTGCCTTGTATTAAAAAGATAAGAACAGCCACACTTGCTCCTCTCATTCCTGAAGCAGGATGAGGTTCAGCCATTGGGTAGTACAATTTAGGCTGGAATATTTTTCTGATGATGCAGGGAATAGGGAAAAGCACGTTAACATGGGCATCTGCCTGGTTCATTTCTTTATATATTTTCTGCCCATTCATACACTGTGATGTGTTAAGATATTTCTCTGGTATTCTCAATGTTATCTCCCTGTCTCCAAAAACTTTAACATCTCAAAATCATACTGGGAAGAAATAACATACAGAAAGTTATATAAGAGTATACATGAGAAATGTGGGTAAATCTAATAATATATGTTTTTAAAAAAACCTAAGATTCCACTGAGAATGGAAAACAGGTGTCCTTTTATTTGAGCCAACACTTTAGAGAAAGGCTGGTGAACCTCTGCACCTTCAGATGTGGCTCCCTTGACTCCAGGAATCTAACATCTAGAGAGGCACAGTCTCTTTACCCCTACTCTAATAAACCTTGGTGCACCATTCTGACATTATCTAACCCCAAACACGGTGCCATGTGAACATTCCCTTCACTGGGTTGATCCTAGGAGTTAGGATGAGGAGAATATAACCAAAGACTGAGCAGGAGTGATGGAGATTAAAGAGGGAGGTTAGCTATGTCTCTGGCTAATAATATGTGTTCTGCCCCAAATGTGTTATTTTCCATTATATCATAATTTACCCTCCCATACTATGAAGAGCATCAATTTCCCCTTTGGTTTCATGGCCATAACCATCTTCATGGCAGCCATCAGAATTTAAAATAGTCTCATGCTTATCCAAGCCTGGAAGCAATTTGATCCAAGGAGATTCCCATAGTTATCTGCATGGATCAACCAACCCAAGGAATCCTCTTTGGGAAAATATAACCATTCAGCATGAACACCCCATGAGAGCATAGCTCCTTTTGAATTATCATTTCTTTCTATCCCACGTATCTCCATTTGCATCTCTACTGTCCTGTAATTAATCCCTTTCCATTTGCCTTGCGATGAAGCAGTAAACTTACTTTGGATATTGAGAAACTTTGGAAAGTTACCAAATTAAGCTGCCTGTTAATTGAGAGTCTCATAGCTTCCCAAGAGAGCAGAATATTATGCAAAGCTTAATGAGTGATCAGATTCATGTGGAGAAAAGCTTCACTTGCTGATTTCAAATACTCTTAAGGGCATAGGACTATTCTTGATCAAAACCTGGCATCCCTAGAGAGGCAGTTTGCAGATTGTGCAGCCATAAACTATTCATGATTTTGCTGCTTTCTGGATCCAGGATCTACAACACTTTCATTTATTGCACAGAAAAGCAAGGAAGAGCACTTACCTATAGCTGCCAGTAATTGCAATTTCTCCATCAACCAGCAGAAATTTTTCCTTTAGAGTTCCTGTGATCTGTTTCTGGCTTCTGCTTTGGAATGAACAGCCATGAAGAGTTCTGACTCGCAGGTTCTATGCAAGAGAAAAGTAACAAAAAAGGCTTGTTTATATATATATATATATATATATATATATATATATATATATATATATATATATATATATATATATAAAGATTTCTAACAACCTTGGCTTTTTTATGACTCGTGGACTTCAACTCCCAGGAATTCTGGGAGCTGAAGTCCACAAGTCATAAAAAAGCCAAGGTTGCCTACCCCTGATCTAGAGATACTGATCTAGAAGAAACATCACTGACCAGTTCAGCTCATCTAGAAAACAGCATCTTTTGGAAAGCTACTCCAACCAATTGATTCAGTATCAAAACACTGCACAAAGGCCACAATTAAAGATTCTGAGGATCTTTTGGTACCCCAAGCCACATTTCAAAGGATCTCAGATTAGTTCAATGCCACCACTGAAAAATATTGGCACACATACCCAAAAGGGAGAGCGTTTTAGCTCAATAATCTTGAATTTTTTGCCTGAAAAAAAAGGTAACTTAAAAAAAAATCAACTATATTTTCTATTGGCTGAGATACAAGGAGGTACCCCAATGGCATACACCACATATTTACAATTAAAATATACAAATTGGATTTATTTTATTCTGTTTGCATGCCCACCTTTCTTCAAGGTATTCGAGACTTTATTTGGCCTATATGCCACTCCATTTTCAAGGACTCTGACTGGCTTATGACCAGTAAAACAAAATATGTCATTCCCTCTAATGTGAGACCTTTAACAAACTCTTCATACTAGATCTCACTGGGTGGGCAGATTCAATAATCTTGGTGTGATCAGGACCTTCATCTTTTTATTAGCACTATAACTTGGTAATAAGGTGACCAACTGTCCTCCTTTAGGGAGGACAATCCTCCTTTTTTAAGTTCTGTCCTCCCTCGAAAAGTGTCCTCCTACATGTCCTCCTTTTTGATATTTGAAGACTAATCTGCAGGGCTTTTTTTTTCTCATAGAACGCTCAGAACGGTGTTCCGGCACCTTTTTTTGATGTTTTTTTTTTCAACTTTTTCATGAGCTGTGCTACTCCTCCTATTGGCTTTCGAAAGCCAATAGGAATTGCTGCTGAGCATGCCAAAACACCCGGCCAGCAAACTTTGCACATGTAAGTTGTCTGCAGCGAAGGCGAATTGGCAGGAACTTTGCACCTCTCCCTGCTACCCAAATACACCATGTCCTAGTTAGTCCCAAAGATACCTGGAGGAGACTGGAGCGGTGATGCCACGGTAACTTTCTCTTGATCTTCGGCCCTACTAGGGCAATAATGGCTGCAGGTGCAAGAGGCGGGGCAGTGGGACTGCTGTGGGCAGGAGTGTGAGGGGCGGCGGTGGCCGGCTGCCCCCCGTGCTGTGAGAGCTGCGGGGCCTGCTCTACACGGGGCTGTGCAGGGTGGCCGGTGGTGCTGGCAGGGCGGCTGCAGGTGGGATGTGTCGATGGCGGACTCCCCCCCGGGGCTGGAGCCGGCACAGCTGGTGCTTTGGGAGCTGCGGGGCCCGCTCTACACAGCGGGGCAGCAGTGCTGGTGGGGTGGCTGCGGGCGGGGGCACGGCATGTAAGCATAATTACAATATAAAATGTTATTGTTACAAATGTTTTTTATTATGCATTTATCATATTATAGTGTATTCTGCATTATTGTTGCAATGAATAAGATGTTTCTTTTATTTACGATATTTTTTTCTTCAATTTTTTTGTGTCCTCCTTTTCATTGTAAAAAAGTTGGTCACTTTATTGGTAAGGTAGATTTCACAAAGGCTACCTAGTAAGTTTTGTAGCTAGGCCAGGATTTGGAATCTGAGCCTTCTCCAACACAGGTAGTCCTCAATTTACAACAGTTCATTGAGGGATCATTCAAAAGTACAATGGCACTGAAAAAAGTGACATGTCATGACCACTTTTCACACTTACGACCGTTGCAGCATCTTCATGATCCCATGATCAAAATTCAGATGCTTGGCAATTGATTCATATTTATGACCATTGCTGTTTCTCAGGGTCATGTGATTCCCTTTTGCGACCTTCTGACAAACAAAGTCAACAGGGAAACCATATTCACTTAAGAATTGTGATATTAATTCAACAACTGCAGTGGTTCAGTTAACAACTGTGGGAAGAAAGGTCGTAAAATAGGGCAAAATTCACTTAACAAATGTTTCACTTAGCAACAGAAATTTTGGGCTCTATTGTGGTTGTAAGTCGAGAACTACCTGTACTTTTGGATATTCTTAACTATTGCTTGATGTATTATCTAACCAATGTTTGGGGAAAAAACCCAACAACTAACAAGCTTTGCAAATCCAATGTGAACAAGTGTGCTTTGCATTTAAAATTAAAGGGAGTTACACCTATGATTTTGATGAAGATAATGACAGTCCCATTTTCAACGCCCACCACCCCGTTTTGACCAGAACTCCCCCCCTCAGTGTTTCAATCTATTTGCCCAATAAAATTAATTCTAAAGATTCCATTGACAAAAATCTTGATCCTGTGTTCAGCAAATGCCAACATTAATGTGTTTGTATTGGGGGAGAGGGTATTTAAAAGCAAACCAAATGATAATTAAGTAAAGTCAGCTAGTGCTAAAATCCTGCTCTTTTGGGGTTTAGAAACGGAAACATTCCCCTATTCACCTCCGTGTGACGGACATTAAGGCAAGTTTTCTCAGCCATGGAGAGGAAGGAGCAAAGATGCTGCTGGTTGAGCACAAGATAGACTGGTACCTGCCGCCTAATTGCTGCATCGTACAGATCCAAGAGAATATCAGGATCTGTGAAAATGTCCATGACTATAGCAATCACCTAGAAAAGAAATAGTTTGCTTGTGAGACCAGCAAAAGTTTTGCAGTCTTGCTTTCCAAATTATATCTCCTTAAAATAACAGTAAAGTGAGCTGAATCCAGTTTGCAGAATTATATGAACATCGGGATATTGATAGAGAAGGTTTAAAAAAGTCAATACTTTTGCTTCAAACACCTTGATTTGTTTTGATACGCCCCCTTGGCCAACATCCACCGCACACATACTTTATTGGATTTATATCTTGTTCTGTGAGCTCGGATATTTTTGGGTTTGGGCTTTGGTTTTAATCTAAAAGAATATTCTTTTTCTAATTGACCCGAAAGTGCTTTTTCCAAAGGCAACTGGACCTTCTTTTGATTTCTTCTCATCCAAAGACCTTCTTCAGTTCTGACTCCATCTGAATTAAAGAAGCTTCTTGGATGAGAAAGGAAATGTCTTCAAGGAAAACAAAGAAAGTCCAATTGCTTTTTGAAAAAAACACCTCTGGGACAACCATGACATGAATGACTCAGAATATATATTTTTCTAATTGACTTTTCTCGATAAGGTACAACAGTTATAGGCTCTATTGCAGTCATAACTCAAGGATTACCTGTATATTATGGCTGCAGTCTTTTACTAGCCAGACTAAACTATTAAATTTAGTTTTAATGAATCAGAAGGCAGACCAGTTAACAGATCAGTACATTAAAAGATACTAATATTTATACTTTTCAAAATTGGAATTGGCAGACGTGATATACTACCAGACATGATGTACCACAGTATCTTCAAACAGAAAGATATTTTATGTCTCTAAACTATTGTTTTATGATATCCTGACTTACAAAGCATATGGAAATTGCCAATGCATTGTCTTTTTGAAAGGGAAGACAATTTGATAAAGATTTTTGTGTGGCAATAATGTGGAAATGTCTCAGTTTTGGGAACATCCCATTTTCTGCAGAATAGCTTTGTTAAAACTCTTCACATATTTTCTCACTTTTTTTTTTCATCTCAAGGAGGAAAATGTTCAATGTTACCTTTCCTTCATACCTTATGGGCTTGTTGGATACAGCTGCGTACCAATTCCTTGATATGTGGCGCTCCTTCTCCTGGTGGGTGGGTATAGACCTCTGCTCGGGTAATTCCTTTCCAAGCCCCATGGTCTGGCCACCCTAGCTCCAGATCTGGGGGTGAGTCATCTGAACGCTGAGGCCAGTAGCTGAGACTAGATCCCTTCGTTCCAAAGCTGTAAGTCCCTACTCCACCTGAAGGGGGAGCCTGTAATTCTTCTGCCGTTGCTGTAGCCTTTAATTCCTGCAGTTCACCCTCTGACAGAAAGGGGCGCAGCTTTTCACGGGAGAGGCACTGATTAAAGGCTTCCTCACCATTGGCAAGTAGAGCTTCAAGGGCCAACCGCTGACGTTCACAATAATAAAATTCAGGATTTGATTCAGTTACTTTAATGTATGGCTCTTCGCTCTCCAGGCAGCGGATCTGGGATCCAGCCATTGCCTTTGACAACAGAACATGCAATTCTAAAGTGCCCACGGGATACTCTTTGCTATTTTAGCAAGTCACTGTCTTTTTTGCCAGCCTTTGCGATGCTGGACAGGAGCAAGTCTTCCTGGCCCTGCTTCGAAATCTTAGAAAATTAATGTAAACATTTCCTTTAACATAACTTCTTGTTCCCAATATTTTTCTAAACTCCCGAGAGGGAAATAGGTCCCCCAAGTGCTTATTAATATTGTTTTACATTGGTAACAACATCCTTGATTATATTATTTCTCTATCCTCTAATCCTTCACCTTGATTCAAACAATTTTAGAAGGCCATCTGACCAGAAGAAAAAAAGAATACAGACTAGGCTGGCTAGCTACTAATCAAACAGTATTAGTGATGCTGCTGTTTCCATCTTAACAGGATTTGTTTGGTGGAAAACAAAAGCAAAAGGAACAAAGCAAGAAAAAAAAAAGTTCCAAAAGGTAGTTACTGGCCACCTTAGGACCTATTTTATCTCATCAGGATCAAATAGTATACTCTTTTAATCTCAAATCTCAATTCCAGTACCAGAATAGAGAGAATTAACAGCATAAATCCTTATTCTAATAATGACCTAGAAAATATGTTTTAATCTAATCCATAAAAGTATCTGGGTGTGTTCCTGGCAATCATTTCCTAATATGGTGCAGGCAAGTGCCCTAAAATGTGAAATAAATACTGTAATAAAGACAGCATTAGTTTAAGAGAAAGGAAAGACAAAACCACAATATCTTCTTACATGTTAATTTGGATATACAATTTTAGCTGTGGCACTTCCTAAACAATTCTGTGGAAATCCACAAAGTTCTGCCTGCAATCCCTTCTTTTGCAATGTCTCTTCCTTCTCATTGATAGCTATGATGGAAGAATTGATCTAAACCCTGGATTTGGCTACACAAATCTCAAGTTACTAATCTCCTTCTACACAGTTAATTTGTGAAGGTTTCGGATAAGATGATGACATTGAAAGAGCTGGTTGAGCCAAGTACAGAAAGAAGAATATTTAGATTCTGGGATGAACAGAAGCAAAGAAAGTGAAAGAGGTCAGCACCTTGGGGAAGAGGCCAAGATTGAGGGGAGCAACATGTGAATAAGAAAATGTAGAATTTGGGAATGAGAAAATGGATCTAGAGGGTCAAGAGGACATCTGGAAGCAGAAATTCATTAGGCTTTCATAATGGAATTCTAAAACAGATCAGAATATTTTGTTTTACTTAGACATACATGGAAGAACATCATGAGAACGTTTCTCTGTTTTTTAACCAGACCTTCTATTCTACTCGCCCCACAATATCTGACAACAGTCTGTATTTCTGCAATATGTAAAAAGACTCATATGTCTCCATAAAGTCCAAATATTTTTTCCTAATAGGTTATTCTAAGAAGTCCCAGTTTTCTCTTTTCAGATGTTTCCACACTTGCAGTAAATAGCTGCTCATTTACATTCATAAAAACACATCAAAAGCTTTTTTTTTTTTAAAAAAAATAATATTATTTTCTGGACCCAACTATTGATTGTAAAAAAGCACTTTCTAGGAGCTAGGTAAGAATCAGAAATTATCTGCAACCAATCAACAAATAAAATAATCTACACTCATTAATTTCTGGGATATTTGTTATACTAACTATCTGGTTGAATGAGCAATTGAGAAATATATCTGGATCTATTGTATTTTCTTTCCTGAAGCGAATAAACGATGTTCAATTCTTAGCCAAAGCAAACTTGCTTTCTTGAGTCATGTGAAACTCAGAAATTCTCATAGTTTCCAGCCAGTTAAAGCCACTTGGAGAAAAACTTCCGAGAAAGGCCAGTGAATGATAGACATAAATCCCGCTTTTTAGTCAGTCAGCAAAATAGTGTTCTAATTTCAGATTATGGGAATTTGCTATATATTTGTCTTGACAGGTTAATAATACACATTCCACAATCTTTCCTTCTTTTAGCAACCGATCAGCAACAAGGGGTTGACCCCATTTATCCAATCAGATTTCACACCTGTAACATCTGGATTCTCGTGTATTAAAGTTTCTTCTTCAACTAGCTGTTAATTCTCTTGTTATTTGGATGTTAGACGGTTTCTGGAAAGCTACTTCGATGCTTTTTTCCATTATTATATAATCCCAATCTAATGGCTGGGGGAGATGTTACATTTCTTCATTTATATAGACGTAGGACAGGAAGACCTGGAGGAATGTTGTCCATGGGGTCGCGATGGGTCGGACACGACTTCGCAATTAACAACAACAACAAGAAGGGGAAAAAAACCCTCAGCAAGCAAAAATCATGAGTTTGTGGAAGGATAGCCTTGCACAGCTGCAAATACGGTACATTTGCTTGAAAAAGAATCCGTTCTTCTGGTCACAGCTCCTACGGTGTTCAGGAAGAAAAAATGGTTCAATAAGATTTTTTCATTTTGGTGTATTCTTAAGGGAAGTGCACGAAATAGTACTTTGCAAGAGGGATGGACCAACTGTGGCACCCCAGATATTGCCAGAGTACAGTTCTCATTATCTTCTCTGCCCATGCTAGCTGGAGACAATGGGAAGTGAAATTCAATATCTGGAGAGCCAAATATTACATATTATTTTTCAAGGTTGTGATTATCTTGAGAAGCAGTCATTTTTCTTCAGTTCTTCCTTAACTGCAGCAAGTCAGATGCAGGTAAGATTTTGACCTAGTTTGTTTGTTCTCAGTTCACCTTTTATTGTGACTTAAATTTGAAGGCTTTGCAAAACTAAGGGAGAAAAGTTTGGTGATAGAAGTCATGGTCCCAGTTTCTCCTAGAAGGCCAGGAGTACACTACTAGAGTTAGGAAATGTTGTATTTATAAGCCTACCTTTCCCCCCATTTCCCTCATGCTTTTCCAGGGATACTCTTACACCCCATTCCTTTAAAATGTCCCGTGCCTTTAAACAGCTAGTTTGGCCTAGTGGGAATACACCAGACTAAATACCCAGGAGATGGCAAAGGTCTGATCCTGCTTCAGGCATGAATAATGTCTGGGTGACTTTGGACTACAGATAGTTCCTTGACTTGAGCCCAAAGTTATGTTGCTAAGTGAAACATTTGTTAAGTGAGTTTGCCTCATTTTATGATCCTTGTAGCCACAGTTGTTAAGTGAATTATTGCAGTTGTTAAGTTAGTAACATGGTTGTCAAGTGAATCTAGTTTCCCCATTGACTTTGCTTTTTCAGAAAGTCGCAAAAGGGGATCACATGACCCTGGGACATTGCAACCGTCATAGATATGAGTCAGTTGCCAAGCATCTGAATTTTGATCATGTGACCATGGGGATGCTGCAACGGTCATAAGTATGAAAAACAGTCATAAGTCACTTTTTAAAGTGCCGTTGTAACTTTGATCGGCCACTAAATAAACTGTCGTAAGCTGAGGACTACTTGTAGTCACTCTCCCTCTACCCAGCCAACCTCTCAGGATTGTTGTTATTGTGGGGAAAAGAGCAGGAGGAAGAAATATTAGGTATGTTTGCCGCCTTGGGTTATTTATAAAAATGTTAAAGGGAGGGGAGTGTAAAAATAAATTAAAAAATGGGGTATGATGGAGAAATCTTACTCGTTCTCTGGAGAATGCTTTCCTCCTCTTAAATATGCAAAGCCTCTTTCAGTGAAAGTGGAGGAATGAAAAATTGTGACTATTGATCCATAGAAGCGTCAACTGCCAGGTAAAAGCAGAAGTTCTTTGTAAAGTCACTAGTTGGAAGTCACTTGTAATAAATTCCTCCTGGGCCCCACCTCCTTTGCAACTAGCCACTTTTACCCCAAATGTGCCCTCCAGACATCATCTCCCCACTCCCCTTGTTCCATTTGCATCTCCCTTATCAAAAGTGGAGGGGGTGAGGGGGAACAGATAGGAATGGCTAGCTTCTCACCACCTCTGCTGCCTGCTTCTTATTCATCTTTGCAAGCCCCGCTGAGTGCTGTGTGTTTCATCTCCACCAGTTCAGAAAGCCTAGTAACACCTTGGAAAGCCCTTCCTGATTTTGAAGCCCTGACTTTGAAGTCATTTTGTTTGGTTCAAGAGGAAGCCTTTTCCTCAGAGCTTAGCAGAGCTTACTCTCCCCCTTCGCATTGCAGGACTTGCGCTCCGCTTGTACTTTTGCAAACATACCTTCCTCCTCAAGAGTTCCGGGTGTGGATCCTCTTTCGCTTCACCTGTTCATCTGTTGTTTTAAAGGAGAAGAAACTGAGGGGTCTAGAGGCTGGATTGGAAGGTTTGGGTCTCTCGGTTTCTCTGTCCTCCCCAATTAATTTTGGTGGGTTGGGGGAAGAAGCTCCTTCACCTTCTCCTTCCTTTGTGCCTGCAACCAGGCACTCCGCAGTCCATGCAGTGCACTGATCCAGGAAGTCCAGGGCTTGTGTGCAATTGCACAGCACCTGTTGGGAGCCAGGTGGCCAAGGAAACTTAGAGGCATCACCCTCCCTTATGAGCAAATAATGTAGCCTGCGGAGAATTGTAATTAATAAGACAACTGCACAGCAAGCAAGACTAAGTGGAGGGGAGGAGAAAAGGGGAGGCTTGACCTCTTCTTTTAACAAGATGGGAGTGGGGCTGCCCCTGTTCTTCCGTCTTAACTCTGAGGGATGCCGAGGGGCAAAGGAAATCTGATACAGGGATTCTATGTCAGGCTGTGTTTCCTAAGCAAGCTTCTCTTTGAGGGCGCAGAATGTCAGTAGATATTTCCCTCACAACTGGGACGTTCAGCCCTCCTGTATTCCTCTCAAGGTAAAAGGGAAGCTGCATCTTCCAGAAATTCAAAACACATTGGAAAAGGAGCTTCTTCCCTCAGAGAACAGGACTACGTGATCGCCAAATGGAAAGCATGTGTAACTTCTCCAAAGCATCTCTTGGCTATTGCTTTGTATGGGTAGTCCTGCAACTTACAACAGTTCATTTAGTGACCAGTCGAGGTTACAATGGCACTGAAAAAAGTGACTTACGACCATTTTTCACACTTACCGTCATTTCCGCCTCCCTGCAGTCACGAGATCAAAAGTGGTCAGATGCTTGGAAACTGACTCATATTTAGGGCGGTCGCAGTGTCCCGGGGTCATGTGATCCCCTTTTGCGACCTTTGGACAGGCAAAGTCAATGGGGAAGCCAGATTCACTTAACAACTGCGGTGACTCAGGTAACTGAATCTGTGGCAAGAAAGGTCGTAAAATGGGGGCAAAATTCTCTTAATAACTGTCTCGCTTAGCAATAGAAATTTTGGACTCAGTTGTGGTTGTAGGTCGATGAATACCTGCAATGTCATTCATTAATCTATCTCATTCTCTCAACTAATTCCATTGCATTTGGGTGTAGGATCGTGTGCTCTGGCAGTTTTCAACTTACAGCTATTTGTTTAGCTGTAACATTACAACGGCATTGAAAAAGTTACTTACGCCTGGTCCTTGTGCTTATGACAGTCGCAGCATCCCCACAGACATGTGATCAAAATTTTGAGCCATGGCAATCGGCACTTTTTTATGACCGTCGCAGTGTCCTGGAGTCATGTGATCATCATTTATGACCTTCCCAGCTGGCTTCCAACAAGCAAAGTTGATGGGGAAAGCCAGAGTCACTTAACAGCATGATTCACTTAACAACTGCAGGGATTTGTTTAACAACAAAGGTTATAAAATTGGCCACAATTCTCTTAATAACTGCTTTGCTTAGCAACGGTGATTCTGGTCCCAGGACAATCTGTAATGTTGGAAGCAGAACTTGGATGACCCAGGTTCCCAGACTACCCTCAACAGGGATAGGTGATTCTAATGGCCAACTGCCATCCCTGAATGGATATGGAGATATCCAATTTTTGAGGTGACTTTGCTTTGTGAATTGACTTGGACTGCTTATAAGAAAGGCAGAATCTGAAACTAATGGTTGAAGCAACATTTCTCAACCTTAACAGTTTTAAGATATCTGGATTTCAACACCCTAAATTCTCTAGTCAGCATGCTTGCTGGGGAATTCTGGGAGTTGAAGTCCAGACATTTTAAAGTTGCCAAGTTGAGAAATATTGGCCTGAATTGTTTTGTTGAGAGTGTACTCTTTCTTAAAGTCCAAAACTCTTGAACAGAAATTGGGAACCAAAAGTCTTCTGTGTATTGTTAGAGACCATTAGTCCACAAATGAGTCATCATTTCAAAAACTATCTGGCTTTTTTTCCCCTTAAAGGATAAACAAGAGCAAACTTCCCTCACTATAAAATTGTAATATGCAGATGGGATATTGGAGATCTTGATTAAATTTTCTTTTTTTCCCCACAGCTTCCCTAGTTCCTTCCCCAGGTTTCTATGTCAATTTTATTTTTTTGGGCCACATTTGGCAATCAGATTAAAAAAAAAAAATCTTATGTTCCGAATATCCTTGTGTCTCCTCTTCCCACCTCCCACCCATCCTTTCTCCACCACATGGTCTTTGATGTTGGTTGGCTGCCATGCTCATCCAGTGTGATTGCTGATACAATTCTGCAATGACTGTGAAAAATTACAGCAGTTGAGATCAGACAAATTGCAAAGATCTGCTTGAACTCTGGGGAGTGAATCATTGTTCCCCATTCAGGAGAAAAATCTGTTCACTTGGCATTACTCCATAGTGAAAAAATTATGGGCTGACCCCAGCAACCCATATCTATAGCTTCAGGAAGTAGATAATTGTCTACCTCATTTGCTTATCCTTTTTTTCTCTTTGAAAATAATTGTTCATTGTACTGTTGGTGCCACAAATAACAAACTCAATTGGCAACCTAGAAAAAGCTAAACGTGAGCTTTTACCAAACGGCAGATGTAGCTTCAGTGGATGTTCAAATGGGTATCCACTGCACATTTGGTGAAATCCAAGCTTGGTTGTTGAGAAAAATCATAACACAATAATACTATCATTGTATCATATTGTGTGTCTCACTTACTTTGGCCATGTCATGTGGGGGAATTCACTGTAGAAAGAAATTATGTTTGGAAGAATTAACAGTAAAAGTAAACAGGGCTGTCAAAGAACACAGCTGGACACTATCAAAGCTGACACCAGCCAGAGCATAGCAAAACTCAAAGGAATAGTACAAGATCAGAGGATGTGGCGAGACCTGGCCCATCATCATCATCATCATCATCATCATCATCATCATCATCATCATCATCATCTCCTCCTCCTCCTCCTCCTCCTTCTTCCTAGCAGAGATTATTTTCAGGTTAACAGGAGCTCTCCATTAGAAGAGATGATGGCCATGGGTTTGAGCAACAGACCCTAGTTCATTCTCTCCAAGCAGAGAATTTATAGACCAGGAATCTCAAACCACAGGAGTCCCCAGTGGCTAGTCAGCATATCTGGAGTAATGGGTGCTCTCACAAAATGATTGCTATCTTAGATGTGGTACTGGGCCCAAGGAACAAGAACTATACAGAGTTACTTCTGAGTGGTTTTCTTCATTGTGTTAACCTTTTGACAGAAATCTTGCCAGATTAAAGCAATTATCTGCTTAGCTATTAGATAGACTCTGTGAATTGCTAGGGAGGTCTGCCTTAGCTCTTTTCCTGCTTACTAAAGATTCTTTGATATCTCTTTGCTCTTTGGGAAAGGGGCCCTCACTCTTGCGACCAGAGTTGGTTCCTTGAGTTAACACCACATCTAAGATGCCAATCGTTATGTACATTTCACTAATTATTGCCAATATGAACCCAAGGGCAAACTAAACATTAGGTTGATTTTCTCTCTTGGTGTGCATGTTGGCTCTGGTAGGTCAGGTCAGGAAACAGACACCCCTGGGATTCCAGAAATCCAATTTAAGAAGATAGTGATAACATTTTAAATGATGTCAACAACCTTCACTGCTCCCTTTGAAGGACAAAGGGAGGACAATAAGCCATGTTCTGAGTCTCCCTTCTCGTCCTTCTACATTCTTGCAACTGATAAATTGTTTTATCTCTCCAACTTTGTGCTCGAGGCTAGAGCTAAATTTCCCTATAGTGCAGAATCATGGAGGATTAGTTTTGTTCTAATGAAACTGTAGCTCCCTTGCCAGCCAGTAGAACTCAGACAAAATAATCATGTAGGCTGCTGGCATTTCCACTCTACATTCCCTTGAGTAAGATATGGCTCTTGGTCATTTACGAAGTTAGATTATCCAGTCTCTTTCAGTAGTGGAGATATAAACACATATATATTTAAAAACTTTGATCACATTAAAAGTAGGGCAGAATTCAGTTGGAAACTGAACCAAGACAGAAAAGCATAGATTATTGTGCTCTTAACATTCTCAGATTATAGTTTAATATTTCCAGGTAAAAGGAGACACAGGAAACATCGGTTTAAAAAAGATTTTATTTTGTATTTACTAGGTAACAAGTGCAACAAGGAATTTGCATTAGGACTTTTTGTTTTCCTGTGCTATGTTAATGTGCCACGGATTTTAATTCTCTGTGGAAATTTAGAAAATGCTCAAGCTTCTATCTTTTGTGCATACTGTGTATCAGGCAAGCACAGGAAGATGCTTCTTTTATGCAGAATATACTTGTGATCTATAATAACAATTTGGAATCTCTCAGCATCTCTTCTGCTAGAAAGCATTTCTTTGTAGCAGACCACTGCCATCTTATGATTTGCATGAAGTATTGCATTCTCTTTCAGAATGTCTGTGGAGGTTCTCAAGTCATCCAGGTGTTGGTTGTCCCAAAGGTGCTTCTTCAGGAGGAAACTGGACTTTCTTGCTTTTCTTTGAAGACATTTTGCTTCTCATCCAAGAAGCTTCTTCAGCTTCAAAGAAAAACAAGGAAGTCCAGTTGCCTCTTGAAAAGAGATCCTTTGGGATCTCTTTCAGAATGTTCTTTCATAAGATACAACATTTGTGTGATCTGATCAGCTGCATAATTTATCTTTACCAGCACTATTTGAATGTTAATATCTAAAGTATTGGGTATTACATTTATTTTTTATTTTTAAATAAAGTTTAGTTTTTTTAATATCTGGTGAGATTAATCTGTGTTCCAGGGAGATACTTAATCATCAGCCTCTATGCTCTGTGGTGAGGAGTTGCATCATTAAAATTGTTTCACTGTTTGCATTTTTAACATTTAATTTCCAGAAAAGTAGCAGAGGTTATTGGAACCCTGTCTCTTATGGTGTAGCACTCCCTGAAAGACATGGGGCTTGCAAGTACTATGAAGCTGCCAGCCCAAAGGAGGAGGCAGGACCAGGATCTGAAAACAGAAAGGACTTCTGGGAAAAGAACTTTGAGACCACCTTCCTTCCATTCCATAGGCTCAGCTATCTGCTGCAATTGCATTCCAATATCTTATAAGCCAACATTTCAATACCAATCTTTAAAAAAAAAAACAACTCCAGCCCTATATTAGATTTTTTTTTTAAAAAAATGAAATTAAGTACCTTTGATATAAGAAGTTTGACAAAAAAAAACCATGATGTA